GGAAGACTCCCCCTTCCACCTGGCTTTCTCGCTGAACACGGGCTGCGATGGTGGGTCCTGGGTCCCCACAGGCTCCGAGTCCTCTGGGTCCTAAGCACAGTCTCCTCCGTCACGTCTTTCCTCCGTCACACCGCTCTGCCTGTGTCTGCAGGCTCTCGCGACCCCTGGGGCGGTGGGACGGTACAAGCATGGCCTGGGCGCCCCAGCCCCTTTGGCTCAGTGGTCAGAGCATCAGCCCGCAGATGGAGGGGTCTCGGGTTTGATTCCGATAGAGGGCACGTTCCTTGGCTGCAGGCTCCATCCCGGCCCCAGTCAGGGCACGGGCAGGAGGCAGCAGTCCCTCGCGCATCGATGTTTCTCTCGCTGTCTCTCCGCCTCCCTTCCACTCTCTCTAAAAATCAATGGGAAGAAGTATCCTCGGGGAGGATGTTTTAGAGACGTGGCCTGGGAGCCCTGGCGACAGCTCACCGCACAGCCCCGAGGTCCCGAGGCCCCGACAGGCCCGGCCGGCCGCTGGGCGTCAGGGGTCAGGAAGCCGCGGCTGGGCAGGTGCCGCGTCACCTGGGGATCCGCTTTGCTCCCCCACCCGCCCCGCCACGTGGGAGCCTGGGGGCAGGCGGGAGTTCAGAAGCCATAACGGTTTAGGAAGCAGAGAGAGCTGGCGTGTGGTCCGACCTCCGCTTCTCCAAGGCTCGCTGGTCCTCCACACGCCCCCGTCGGCCTCACGGTGCTGTCTCGTCCCCCCTGCGTCCCGGGGGGGGGGGAGGGGTGGCCGGGCCACGTGCCCAGGTCCCACGGCTCACGCACACCAGCACCAGGGACCGGCCGCTGCCCCGCCCACGGCCCACGTGCCTGGTTGCCTCGCTCTCACAGGCAGGTCTTCCGTTCTCGCTCTCCAGGAGGCAGTTCTCGAGACCGCTCACTTATCAGCCTTTTAAAAAATAAATTATATTGATCTCAGAGAGGAAGGGAGAGGGAGAGAGAGAGAAACATCAGTGATGAGAGGGAATCGTTGATTGGCTGCCTCCTGCACGCCCCGCACTGGAGATGGCGTCTGCAACCCGGGCCTGTGCCCCGACCGGGAATCGACCTGTGACCTCCTGGTTCATAGGTTGACGCTCAACCCCTGCACCACGCCGGCCAGGTTATCAACTCTTAATCAGATCACGGCCCATCTGTGTGTGTGTGTGGTCACCCCTGTTCCCCGAGGGGTCAGGCTGGGGGCACGTGCTTTCGGGGAACAGGAGCTGAGTGTTGGGGCCAGGAGCCGGGGGCCCCCCGCCTCGTCCTGGTTGTGACTTCGAGTCACCCGCTCTCGCCTGTGGGCCCATCTCCACCGGAAGTGACTGGATTTCCCAAGGAGCTCCCTCCCGCCTCAAACCGAATCCTTCCCAGTCGATGGAGGGAATCCCTTCCAACGAGAGACAGTGAGCCCTGTGGATGAAGCGGCCCCGGACCGTCCCTTCTTCCGATGCGCCCGGCGTGGGCCTTGCTCTGAGCCTCAGCCCTCCCGTGAGCTGTTGGGCAGGACAGTCGCCCTCCGTCCCGGACGCCGGGATGCGGGGGTGTCCAGAGGCGGGAGGATCACCCAACAGCCCGGACTCATCGGGGCGTCGTGTTGAGGACGGAGTGCGCTTTCTTCTCTGGAAATGCAGTGTTTATCGCACAGTAAACACACAGACGGAAGGAGCCAGCTCGCCCTGCGCAGGCCCCTCGGCGCTGGGGCACCTGTCCTCGCTGGGCCGCCTGGACTCCAGGCCAAGCCGCCGAGGGTGGTCCCTGCGCCTCCTGAGCCCCCCTCTCCCCGTGCCACCCCCCGCCCAGGTCAGACCCAACACCTGGCGGCGTGCTCCTGGCTTCTAATGCAGAGATGAAAACAGACGAACGGTTACAGCTCTTCAGGGAGTAGCCGCAGCATGTTCTCTTTTTAAACTCACCCCCCCCACCCACCCCCACCCCGCTCCGTGAGGAGTCGGTCAGCGTGGGAAGCGGAGCCGCGTCAGAGCCCGGCGGGTGCACGGCGTCCCCCACGGCGGGCCTGTGCCTGTCGGGAGTCGGGGTGGCTCGTGTACAGACAGTGGGGTACACGGGGGTTTTGAAAGCATCTGCTCCCTCTTGGTTTGTTAGTGGAAAACCACTCTTATCTGTTGGGAAGAGTAGGGCCCCCCGGAGCTTTGCCTGGTGGGAGGGGACTGGATTGGAGGGGTTCCTTCGCAGCAGCTGCACGGCCTGCTCACACCGCACGGCACTCACTTTAAACATCTCACCGGGTTACCCGCCTGTGACACCTCGGTGAAGCCAGAACTAAATGCATAGGCGATCAGTCAGTCAGTCAGTGAACTGAGGCAGGCGCCCGTGCACGGAGGGAATTCACAGCCCCGCCCCCGCCCTTTCTCTCCACTGCTCGCGTCTGCTTTGTCCTGTGATGTTAGTCTGCTTCTGGTCTCCCCTTTAGCTGTCGTTTTACTACTTTGTACGGCTTTGAAGGTTGTCTGCTTTCCCTGTTGCATTTACTATCTTGCTAATTTTTTCTCTCTCAAAGAATCTCTTTGTTCATAAATCTGGGATATGCTATTTTCCGTATATTTATTAAAGTAAGTGTAATTTTTAAAAGAAATACATATTTTATTGATTTCAGAGAGGAAGAGGGGGGAGAGAGGGTTATCAGTGATGAGAGAGAATCAGTGATCGGCTGCCTCCTGTACGCCCCGCACTGGGGATCGAGCCTACAACCCGTGCTCTGACTGGGAATCAATCCCAGGACCCTTCAGTCCGCAGGCCGACGCTCTGTCCACTGAGCCACACCGGCTGGGGCGTAAGTGTAATGTTTAACCCACAGCTCACACGCGCTGTTGGGTAAGTGACACTGAGCAGACTATGTGTCCAAAACCGTAAAACCAGGAAGAAGCAGGGTCCAGACCAAAACCCAGACTCCTAACTGGAAGCATCAAGTTCTTTGCACAAAATTCACACATCGCTTGCTTGTTTGTGTTCTGGTTGCTCAGACTTTGCCCAAAACCTTTGGCGGCCCTGTCGGCGCGGGTGAGGTCTGTATGCTGGTCGACGGGGCCCAGAGGTGAGAGACCGCAGGCCCAGAGGGTTCCCATGCCAGCTGCTCCAGAAGCACTGAGATAAACTCAGCCCCAAGAGAGTCGTCGGTCACGGCTGGATTCTATCCCTTGTGTGTGGTCCCGGGGTCACGGCTGGATTCTATCCCTCATGTGTGGTCCCGGGGAACTGGTTCCTCACCGGGGCCGGGGGTGGGGTGGGGACTGGGGGTCCTCACCTCTGGCACACGTCCGGGGGAGGGGGGTCACCTGTGTGGTTTTCTGGGAAGAAGATGCCAAGATTGCATCGTGTCCTCGAGGGTCCTGTCCCCAGGAGAGTCGAGAAATATGGCGCGCCAGCTCGGCCCCCTTGGCGGTTACAGCGAGGGTGACCCCTGGGGCAGGTGTGGGCTCCGGGCAGGTGCCTGTCCTCCGCCCTCCGTGGCCCCCACGCCCACGCTGGCCCGGACGTGCCAGGAGGTGTGTGCTCCAGGCAGGGTGTCTGTCCTCTGCCCTCCGTGGCCCCCACACCCACGCTGGCCCGGACGCGGCAGCAGGCGTGGGCTTCGGGCAGGTGTCTGTCCTCTGCCCTCCGTGGCCCCCACGCCCACGCTGGCCCGGACATGCCAGGAGGTGTGTGCTCCGGGCAGGGTGTCTGTCCTCTGCCCTCCGTGGCCCCCACGCCCACGCTGGCCCGGACGCGGCAGCGTGGAGTAGTGCACTAGGAGCCGCGCTCTGTCCCCAGGGGAGTGGGCTTAGGAAGAAGGAAAGAGGTTCCTCGGGGCCAGCGGTCGCCAGCCTTCGGGACCTCACAGTCCACCAGAGTCTGGGCCGTTGTGTCTTCTGAAAGCCCCGGGGAGGTACGTCCGGCGGGAGGTGAGGGAGGGGAGAGCTCGGGCAGCACGGGTCTGGGAAGCTCTGTGTTTCATCGTGACGCCCGCGCTCGCTCTGAGCAGACGTCGGCCGGGCTGGGCAGCGCGTGCGGGGACGGAGCTCGGTCCAGCTGCGGTTCCCACCCGGCCGGGCCAGCAGTCCAGTGGATTCGCTGACCAGTGTGGCTGGGGGTGCCGCGGGAGCACTTGCCGATTGGAGCGAGTTCCAGTCGACAACTGTTTTCTTAGAAGCCGAGCCCTGTTGGCATGGCAGCGCTTCCCCCAGTGACTCGCGGAGCCTCCTCCTTGTGTTCAGTCGGCGCCGGGGAATGGACCACAAGTACCATCCTTCTCCCTCCCCCTGCGAGCCTGTGCGCATCTCCCCGTCGCTTTCACTAACCTCTGTCTTCCTTGCGACTCGCTCCTGCTCAGGGCACGTGGGCAGTGAATACAGGTTGTACCGAGACGGGGGCTTGCAGGGGGGCCGGTGGGGACTGGAGCCTGCCACCCAGGCCTGTGCCCTGACCAGAATCGAACGTTCATAGGTCAGCGCTCACCCACTGAGCTAGCCGGCGGGCTCGGTCAGTGTTCCAGTTTAAAGGCCGGGGCTGCTCTTTCCTGCTGGGGGCTCTGGCCCTGGGCTGGGTGAGCTCCCTGCCGCTGCCGCTGCTGGACATGGCCTGTGGGAGGGCAGTTGCATTCGCTGTGGCTGGGATGTCGGGCAGTGAGACTGACACCAGAAGCAGACGCGTCTCCCAGGCCGCATCCACGGCTGCGTCCACTGAGCGGCCACACGGGCTTTAAAACAAGTTCCCAGGGTGGCCTTGTCTCCGAGTCCCCATGTCCCTTCCTGTCCAGACTTTGCCTGCACCCTTCAGAGGCAGGCTGGTCTCCCGGGGCCCCTCCATTTCCCTGGGACGTGGTAAGGCCGTGTGGCAGACGTCGTGGGGAGAAGCCGGGCGCCCACGGCCGCAGGTGGCATTGCTGGCACGGGTAACCGAGCTGCAGAGGCCGTGGCTGCGGGTGGGACGGAGCCGGGCGCGGCCGGGCCTCCCGTGTGAACCGGGCGCCTGTCTTGCAGGAGGAGGGCGTGGTCAAGGAGATCGACATCAGCCACCACGTGAAGGACGGCTGCGAGAAGGCCGACCCCTCCCAGTTTGAGCTGCTGAAGGTCTTGGGACAAGGCTCCTACGGGAAGGTGAGTCCCCTCCGCTGCCTCCGAGCGCGTCCCGTGCACCGGCCGGTCCCCTCGCCCGTGGCCGGTCCCCTCGCCCCGTGGCCGGTCCCCTCGCCCCGTGGCCCGTCCCCTCGCCTGTGACCGGTCCCCTCGCCCCATGGCCGGTCCCCTCGCCCGTGGCCCGTCCCCTTGCCCGTGACCGGTCCCCTCGCCCCGTGGCCGGTCCCCTCGCCCATGGCCCGTCCCCTCGCCCGTGGCCCGTCCCCTCGCCCGTGGCCCGTCCCCTCGCCCGTGGCCCATCCCCTCGCCCGTGACTGGTCCCCTCGCCCCGTGGCTGGTCCCCTCGCCCCGTGGCCGGTCCCCTCGCCCGTGGCCCGTCCCCTCGCCCGTGACCGGTTCCCTCGCACACGAGCACTCGGGTGTCTGCTGACGGGGAAGGAGGTGGGGATGCCCCTGAACACGTGGGAAGGCAGCCCGGGCTAAGGGGTGCCGTTTGCAGGCGCCCGCCCTGGGCAGGTCCCTCCTGATGGGAACCGCACGCGGGTCAGAGCTGTGCCGGGCAGCACTGACCCCCCCCCCCTTGAGAGCGCCACAGGCTTCCTCTCCGCCGCCCGGCCTCTCCCACGTGCGTGGCCGCTGGACTGGAGCCTGGAGAGCGTGTCCTCAACAGCGATTTTCTAAAAAGGAGGAAAACAAAGCGAACAAGAGACAGAGACGGGAGGTGGTGCCTTCAGGGGGTCACTCGGCCGGGCAGGCTGGACCGGCCTGGCCCCCCGCCCCCCACCCCACCCCCTGCTCAGGGAATTGCCTCTATGAGCCCGTTTCCCGCCCACGAAGTAGGGATAGAAGCTACTTGACATGACTGTTCTGTGGACTCAGTGTGACGGGAACCCTCCCGCCGTCGCCTGCGACGCATCTGTGCACAGGGCGTCCGTTCCCTTCTTCACCTTTAAGTCACGAGGAAAGCGCCTCCCTCCCCGAACGAGGCCCCCGGGCTCTGTTCAGGCCACAGCCACGGCCAGCGGTGTTGATGCCGGGGGTTACGGTTCCCACGTTCTGAGAAGGGAGCAAACCAAATCCCAGCCTCTCACTGTGCCCCCGCCCCTAATGCAGGTGACACACGCTGTCCCCGCCCCTAACGCAGGTGACAGAAGCTGTCCCCGCCCCCTAATGCAGGTGACAGAAGCTGTCCCTGCCCCCTAATGCAGGTGACACACGCTGTCCCCGCCCCTAACGCAGGTGACACATGACTGTCCCCGCCCCTAACGCTGGTGACACATGACTGTCCCTGCCCCTAACGCAGGTGACACACGCTGTCCCCGCCCCTAACGTGGGTGACACAGCTGTCGGCCTGACGCGGGTCTGACATGCTGAGAAAGTGCCGTTCAATGTCCACGTGCCCCGGGGAGCCACGTGGAGACCAGGCTGTGAGCTCAAGCGCCTCAAAGCTGAGATGTGGGTGAAGAAAGCGCAGAACCGGGGCAGGCTCTGTGCCCTCAGAATAACTCGGGGGCCTCCCCAAGAGGCCCGAGGGGTGTTCACAGGGAACTGGGCAGGCCCCTTGGAACAGTGAGTTCTTGTGTTTAAAAAGGAGGTGGATTCCTTCTGGCAGGAAATGCTTAGTGGGAGGGTCACAGCACCAGAAACAACATGATTCTCCTGTGACACGCGCACACACACACACATATCGCCCCATGCACACACATGTCGCCACAGAGCCGTGGGAGCGAGGGGAGTGCCTCCCGGCTGCTGGAGAACACACTACACTCACACCTTCCCTGTGCGCATCCGCTGTGTCGGAAGCTCTGCAGACTCCGTGTGTCCCTTGTCCAGGCAGACACGGGGAGAAGGACGCGCGGCCGATCATGTCCCGTCTCTCTCGGCAGGTGTTTCTGGTGCGCAAGGCCGTGGGGCCGGATGCCGGGCAGCTGTACGCCATGAAGGTGCTGAAGAAGGCCACGCTGAAAGGTGGGGGGCTCAGGGGCTCAAGGAGTTTCGGGAGGCTCAAGAGACCTCAGGGGGCTCGGAGGGCTCAGGGGACTCAGGCCTTGGGGGGCTCGAGGGGCCTCAGGGGGCTCGGAGGGTCCCTGCGCTGCTCACGTCACGTTCTGTGCAGTGCCACGTGGTTCAGGAGGGCGTCCCTAACAGAGGACACCAGACACGTGGCTCTGACCGATACACAGTGTGACACTTCCGAGTCTTCCGTATCCCTCGTTCCCAGAGGAATGTCTCATGGCATCACATCCTCCTTCCACGCATGTCCGTGTGCACGCGTGGCAGAGCCTCGATCGGGGGCCAGCAGGTGGTCATGCTGTGTGTGGACGGCAGGTTGGCCTGAGTTCGTGAGGCGGGTCGCTCAGCTTCACACACACGTGGCTCGTGGCCACTTTGTGTCCCTTGGTTGTCTCAGGGACGGGTTAGAAGCCCAGGCCCACGCCTGGTTCCCAGCCCCCCGTGTGCCCACCCACCCTGAGCACAGAGACAAGAGACGTGGACACGTGTGTCCCCACACACGCGTGCACGGGGTGTTCATGCCCGCAGGTCCATTCTCACGGATGCCAGGAGTAGGAGAGCCGGTCACGCTCGCCGCTCCGTTTCCCAGGGCGCCGCCCCGTGTGCGGTCCTCACACGGCCCTGCTGGGCATGGCCCCGGGTGTGGCCGTCACACAGCGGGTGGTCAGCAGGTGGAGGACCTGGCCTGCGGGGAGCAAGCCTTCCCTGCATCCGGCCGCCCCGGCCCGAATCTGTGGGGGTTCGGCCAGGGTCTGCCCGGGCGTCGTCTCCCAGATCACATCTCACATGGAAGTGTTTCTCGGACGTGTTTCATCTGTGTCCCGGGATGGGCACCGCGGCCGGAGCCGGCCCTTCTCTTGTTTTAGGTGCCATCAGGGGACTCGGGGTGTTGATCGGGGCTCCCGGCCCTTTGCGGTTGGTTTCCGGTCATTGCACACGTGCGTCGGCCTCTGGATGCCGACGTGCAGCTGCTCCGTAACTCGGCCTGTCCCTTCCCGGTGCTGTGTCTTTGCTGACTTACTGGACAGGTTCCCAGCCTCCGGCCGCACCGTCTCGGGGACCGTTGTGTGGCTCGATGCTCGTTAGCACTGAACTCCCTAGTGGACCTGGGTTTATGGTGGTGTGGCTGTAGGGTGGACACAGACACTTGCTTTCCCACGGTGACTACAGCCCCTGGGCAGCTGGAATGTGCCCCAGGCTCATGTGTCCCTGGTTTCCATTCATGATCAGGCGTGTGACTGAACAGGCTTATTACATTCCAAGCGGAACTGAACGCGGTGACAAGGACATCGATCCTGGAGGGTTTCAGAGTCTCTTACCCAGCACCGAGGCCGCGCTCTGCAGGGAGACGGCAAGGGGTGCAGGAGCACATGTCCCCTTCTGTCCACCCTGCCTCCCAGTCATGTCACAGGGCCAGGGCATGGGGGCTGGATAGGCCGATGGGACAGGGACTTTCCCCAGAAGAGGACCCACCTTGGGTGACAAAAGACGGGTCGCAGGCTCAACCCCCGACCCCAGTCGGGGGGGCGTGCGGGAGGCAACCAATCGATGTGACTCTCTCACATTGATGTTTCTCTTGTCTCTCCCTCTCCCTTCCACTTTCTCTAAAAACGAAATGGGAAAGTATCCTTGGGCGAAGATTAACAAACAAACAAAAGAAAGAACGAAGGAAGAATGATGTGTGAACTTGCGAGCTTCCTAAGTCAGGAAAACCCACTGTAAATGACATGGGGTTTGGGGTGGGTGTTCGGTGAGATGACTGGGGTTTGGGGTGGGTGTTCAGTGAGATGACTGGGGTTTGGGGTGGGTGTTCAGTGAGATGACTGAGGTTTGGGGTGGGTGTTTGGTGAAATGATGGCATGAGAGGTAGTGCCCTAGGGGTGACCGTCCGGTTGGTTGTGTAGGAGATCGTCCTTATTCCCAGGAGGTGCTGGGCCTGGGGGTCATGGTGTCGCCCAGCTGGTGAGAGTCAGATTTCTGGCTAAAGTGTGTGTGTGTGTAGAGAGAGAGAGAGAATGCACAAATACCAGCGATTGTGGGACCTCCTGGTCATCATCCCTCTAGTTCCACTCTGGTGCACGTGTGAATGCTTGTGACGAGGAGTTGGGGGGTGACTCACGCAGTGTTTGGTGCCGAACCCTGAGCCGGGCCTGCCTGTGGTGAGCCTGGTTTCTGTCCGCAGTTCGGGACCGCGTCAGGTCGAAGATGGAGAGAGACATCTTGGCAGAGGTGAACCACCCCTTCATCGTGAAGCTGCACTACGGTAAATACGGTGAAAAATAAGATAAAGCCACCTGCTTCTGGGGACTGGGGGCAGCGCCCCCAGACGGGCACTGAGGAGGAGCCAGCGTCAGAGAGGGCCCCGAGTCACCCTGCCCCCTCCGAGTCGCTCGGCCCTCGTTTTCTCAAAAGGAGCAAGTGCCTTATTTTCCTCTCGAAGGCCTACTGTGAGGTGGCTGTGCATTATTATTCTTTAACTAGAGGCCTGGTGCACGGATTCGTGCACCTGGCCTGCGCCCTCTCACAATCCGAGACCCCTCGGGGGATGTCGGACTGCTGGTTTCGGCCCGTTCCCGCAGGCCAGGCCGAGGGACCCCACGGTGCACAAATCCGTGCACCGGGCCTCTAGGATGCATATAAGACCTTTGGTTAATCTCTTCCCACCCTCCCCCCTTCCCCCTTTGCTCTGACATTCATCAGTCTTCCATGTTTCCATGCCTGTGGTTTCTGTGCTTGCATTGAGCGTCTGCCCCCTGGTGGTCAGTGCACATCATAGCTACTGGCTTTTATATATATAGATTATTGTCGTTGATTAAGTGGTTTAAAAAAGTCTCTTGGCCTAGAATGGGGCCGAACCGATGACATTTTTGTGTTGTTTTAAAATAAAGTGCTTTGTGATGCAGTAGTTTATGTAAAGGAGAGACGGTAACACTTCCTGCATTTTAAGTGGCCCCTGCTTCAAGCATTTCAAACTGCCCTGCAAAGCAGGTTATTATTTCCATTTTTCAGAAGACAAAGCTGAGGCTCAGATCAAATAATTTGCCCAACGCCACTTACCTGCTGGGCCACACACCTCCTGTCAGCTTTCTGCCTTTTTATCTCTTCTGCCTGGGAATCGAACCGTGACCTCTTGGGTCATGTCAACGCTCAGCCACTGAGCCCCACCGGCCGGATGGACGGTCTCTCTTGGCCCTTGCGTGCACAGTCAGCCCATTTGGCTGGGCACCCGGCTAAGTGGTGGGCGGAGCTATGTCTGTGGCCCGTGACTGGGGCACAGCAGTAAGCCCATAATTGTGGCACTGTGATCAAACCCGGAGCGCCTGCACCACTGCCATGATGTCGCATAGCCACCCAGCTGGTCACTGCGCTGCCGTAAAAGAGGGGATCGGAGGGTGGGTGCCCTCGAGCCCCGAGCCGGGGAGAATGCACTTCCGTGGGAAGGAAAGGGGGCTCCACCCAACGTGGTCAGAGCCATCGTCCCCACCTCTCTCCCCACCCCCCACCCACAGCAGAGTGAGACCCGTCCCCCAGGCCCAGCCTGACTGTGGCAACAGCAACCGCTCAGGGACTTGAGTGCCTTTCTCCCTGTGTCTCCGGCCCCTTTGTGGCTAAAGCAGGAAGGGAGGAGGGAAGGGAGAGAGAAGTATCCAGACCCTAAGAAGTGACGGAAGCAGGAGAGCTCGCTAATATCGGCCCCTCCCCACGTCCTCCGGCCGCTGGCTCCCACTGCTCCCTCCGTTTGTGAAGTGACCCAGGTCACAGGGTCAGGACACAGGGTCCTTGGAGCCGCAGAGACTGACCCGAGGGCACGGCCACCCCAGGGACCACGGGGGCCCGACTGCTGACCGCTCGCTCTCCCCTTCACAGCCTTCCAGACAGAGGGGAAGCTCTACCTGATCCTGGACTTCCTGCGCGGAGGGGACCTCTTTACCCGGCTCTCCAAGGAGGTAACGCCCACCCCGGTCGTAGGTCCCTTTCTGTCTGGGACTCAAGGGACAGAGGGAGGGAGAGCTGGGGGAGGGGTGTGTGCTCTCTCCCTTCATTTCCTGGTGGTCCCTCGGGCAACGGCACAGTGACCTATGGGGCTGCTTGCAGTATAGTTCAAAGCCTGAGGCTACAGAATCAGACCCAGTTCTGGCAAAAGCCCTCCTAGAGCAGCCGCCCTTCCAGCCTGGTGCCTGGTCCCTCCTGGGGCAGGCGCGTGGTCCCTCCTGGGGCAGGCGCGTGGTCCCTCCTGGGGCAGGTGTGTGGTCCCTTCTGTGGTGGTCACTGCAGAGCCTGGTGCAGGGTGTTTCGTTTCTGTGGAGACGCTCTGTGTTTTGCCATTGGCACCGGGAGAACTGGCCTAGCGGAGAAGTCTGTGCTCTCTGAGCACCTGCTCTGCGTACAGGGGTAAAGTCAGGTCAGGGGAGCTGGGCGGCCTCGGAGCTGCTGTGAGGAAACCCGTGAATGGGGTGACCGTTTAGGAAAGAATTGGGAGCTGGTGGAACACGGAAGGTAGAGTGGGAGATCCCAGAGGCTGGAGGGCGGGCGGCAGCACCAGGGTCCCCGCCAGGCTGTGGGCACGGTCCCTGCCCCACTGGGAGGCCCTGTGTGAAGTGAGGTGTTGGTCTGTGTGCGCCTGGCAGTCACCTCCGGTCCCCGCCGCCGTACGCTGCGCCCTTGCTCAGGCTGAGCACCCTGGAGCTGATTTCGTGTCGCCCTCAGAGGGAGCTCTGGGCTCCGGTCGGGACTTTGATCTCGGGGTGAATGTGGACAGTGTTCCCCGCCCGCTCTGGCTCCCTGCCCAGCAGCCACGACAAGTACCTGCTGCTCTGACACCCTGGGGGACAGGGGAGTGTCCTGGCGGCCCGATGACCTTGACGTGTGTGATTTCCCGGCCTGAATCGGGTGCCCCGACACCCAGGTGCCCCCTGTCCCCGGCTCGGGGCGCTCAGCTGACCGCGCACCACGGAGTGTTGTCCTGGGTGGAACCCATCGCCCTCTGTCAGGCAGCAGCCGCCAGTTTGCGTGAATCCGTGAAGGTGGCCAAGGAGAGGGGGAGAAGCGTGTGCCAGGCGTGATGTCAGAGCTGCTCGCCGGCCTCGCGCTTGGCTGTGTTAAACCTCACGCGTTCACATCAGAAGCTGCTTTGACATGTAACGCCCGGGAGACTGGGAGCTGGTGACCTGCGGGCGAGGCCCCGGGGAGGAGGTCCAGGCGCCGATGGCTTCAGCTTTGTAGGCCTCGCTCTTCGCCTTCCATGACCTGAAACTATAAATAGGCCCGTTTCCACTGTGGGCGCCAGAGGCATCGCCTGGGGGGGCAGAGTGGGGGGTGGGGCGGGCCGAGTGCAGAGCAGGACCGACCGGTGTGGACTTCGAGGGCTGAGCCGTGGTCCCCTTGGCAGAGCGTTGATAAAGGGACCGGCCGCCAGCTCGGCTCGCCCGCTCTCTGCTCGCAGGTGATGTTCACGGAGGAGGACGTCAAGTTCTACCTGGCGGAGCTGGCCCTGGCGCTGGACCACCTGCATGGCCTGGGCATCATCTACAGGGACCTGAAGCCCGAGAAGTGAGTGGGCCACGTGGGCGCCGGCCTCGCCCCTGCTTGCCAGCCCCCCTCCCCGCCCCCTGCAGCCCCTGCTCGGGGTTCAGTTTCCACGTGAGGTCTCCCCAGGAGTGGGCGGGCTTCCTCCTGCCGGCACCTCCCGGGCGGGGATCCAGGTGGGATGAGCAAGTCCACCTGCTGCCCTGGGCGGTGCCCGGACACAGTGGGGCTCACGCTGAGCTGCACCGGTTCCCAGCGCTCGGACCTGGTCCCGGGGAGGCCGGCGGAGCCCAGGGCCGTGGCCGCAGGTCAGGTGGGCAGGCGGGTGGCACCCCCTCACCTGCTGGTCCCACATCCGCTCATGGTCTCTGACGTCATCGCCAGCACAACACGCGTCGCTGCTGCAGGTGTGACTAGCCGGTCACACCATCGCCAGGCCCTCCCTGCGTGTCCCACGGGGGAGCAGCGTCCCGTGACCTCGGTGCCCCTCCTCTAGCGAGTGCAGCCGGGGGGTCCCGGCCGGGAGCCCCGAGCCCTGCTCTCGCTCTTTACAGGCCAAAGGGATCTTTATAGTTAGAAAGATCATACGTCGTGGCGGGGCTGCAGGAGGAAAGATGTCAGTGAGGATTAGTGAGGGCTCATGGCGAAAGCTGCTCATTTCTGGGCCAAGATTAGGTGTCACCGAAAAGCAAAGGTAGAAACACAGGAAGGGGTCCTCTTAGTTCTGCACGGGCAGCAGGCGGCTCCTGCACGGAGACTGCGCACGGGTGGCCTGGGGGTCCCTGGGTGCCACCCCCCTCGCCCCGTGCCTACCTGCCGGGAGCTGATGGAGCCTCTGCTCTCCCCTCAGCATCCTCCTGGACGAAGAGGGTCATATCAAGGTCACAGGTGAGTGAGCGCCGGCCCTGAGAACCTCCCGCCGCGGGAGGAGGGCGAGGGAGGTGGAGAAGAGAGGGTGTTTCTATCTCTCCCTCCTCCCTCCTCCTCCCCCTGCCCTCTCCTCCCACCTCCCTTCTCCTCCCTCCTCTTCCTTCCTCCCTCCTTTCCCTCCTAGCAAACCCCGCCTGCTGTCTGGTCAGTGGTCCCTGTGCTGTCAGGCCCCCTGCTGGCCTGCGTGGAGCTGTTAGAAATCAGGTCTCCTGGGGACTTCATGGTGGTCACTGAGAAGTACAATTTCTTTTAAAAAATACACGTATTTTATTGATTTCAGAGAGAGGAAGGGAGAGGGAGAAAGAGAAACATCAATGATGAGAGAGAATCACTGATCAGTTGCCTCCTGCACACCCCACACTGGGGATCGATCGAGCCCACAACCCGGGCCTGTGCCCTGACCAGGAATCAAACCGTGACCTCCTGGTTCATAGGTCGATGGTCAGCCACTGAGCCACGCCGTCCGGCAGAAGTACAAGTTCTTGACACCTTCCAGGGCTCCTGAATCTGTGGGCTTCTGAGACGTTGCCCGGGGAGCGCCTATGGGTGCGGCGCTGGCGTCCGGGGGGTTGAGTTGGGCAGACAGAGTGGGTGGGGCCGTGATGCCCAGTGGGCAGAATTCACAGAAATGCCACGGAAGCCTCGGCTGGGCCTCAGAGACCGAGAAGGGCCGCGCGCTGTTTCCCTAGACTTCGGGCTGAGCAAGGAGGCCATCGACCACGACACACGCGCCTACTCGTTCTGCGGGACCATCGAGTACATGGCGCCCGAGGTGGTGAACCGGCGGGGCCACACGCAGAGCGCTGACTGGTGGTCCTTCGGAGTGCTCATGGTGAGGGCGGGGCTCATGGTGAAGGCGGGGTGATCATGGTGAGGGCGGGGTGATCATGGTGAGGGCGGGGTGATCATGGTGAGGGCGGGTGCTCATGGTGAGGGCGGGGCTCATGGTGAGGGCGGGGTGCTCATGGTGAGGGCGGGTGCTCATGGTGAGGGCAGGTGATCATGGTGAGGGCGGGGCTCATGGTGAGGGCGGGTGCTCATGGTGAGGGCGGGGCTCATAGTGAGGGCGGGTGATCATAGTGAGGGCGGGGTGATCCTGGTGAGGGCGGGGCTCATGGTGAGGGCTGGTGATCATGGTGAGGGCGGGGCTCATGGTGAGGGCGGGGCTCATGGTGAGGGTGGGTGATCATGGTGAGGGCGGGGTGATCATGGTGAGGGCGGGTGATCATGGTGAGGGCAGGTGATCATGGTGAGGGCGGGGCTCATGGTGAGGGCGGGGCTCGTGGTGAGGGCCTGTCCCCTCCCCGGGACAGCACGGTCCTTCCAGAACTTTCTCTGTGCGTCTGAGCGCCTCCCTGCTCTGTCTCTGCAGTTCGAGATGCTCACGGGGTCCCTGCCGTTCCAGGGCAAGGACAGGAAGGAGACCATGGGCCTCATCCTCAAGTGAGTAGGAGCCGCCCCGTGGCTGCACCCCGTCAGCTCCTCCTCACACCAGGGGCCTCGGGCCTCAGCACCAGGGGCTGTAGCCGGCGTTGGCGGCGATGCCACGGGGATACGGGGGCAGCTGCCCTGAGGGGCCCCGAGGGATCGTCTGCTGGGGTCCAACCCCAGCAGGTCCAGGGGTCTCCAAAGGTGTGGACGGAGTCGGCGAAGAAGGAATGACACGGAGACAGCGTTCAGTTGATCAGCAGCCTAGCCAGGATCTCTAGCCAGGATCTCCAGCCAGGTTCTGTCCAGGTTCTGTTGCCAGGTTCAGTCACCAGGTTCTAGTCAGGTTCTCTTGCCATGTTCTATCCAGGTTCTGTAGCCAGATTTTGTCTCTAGGTTCTTCAGTCAGGTTCTCTCGCTAGGTTCTGTTGCCAGTTTCTGTCCAGGATCTTTTGCCATGTTCTGTCTCTAGGTTCTTCTCTAGGTTCTGTGTCTAGGTTCTGTCTCTAGGTTCTTCTCTAGGTTCTGTGTCTAGGTTCTGTGTAGGTTCTGTGTCCTGTTGTCTTGTTACATCTGTATTTATACCAGTTGATTCCAATCCTATCAATTTCTATTCCAAAGGTTAGGGCGTTTCTTATCTCCATTCCAGGGAGTAAAGATTATGTAGCTTAAGCATGATTGTTCGTAGTTAAAGTGATTAACTACCCGCCTGGCACTTAGTTAAGGAGTTTTATCCCCTCCCTAACTTCAGGGGAAAATCCCTACCTGGGGAAACAACCCCTCTCAGAGAGGTGACCTTGGTTAAAACACATAGTGCCAAGAAGGTGAGCAAACATATTAAGAACAGTATGCCATATATGCCAGGTCCCTTGAAACAGCAAGGATGGACCGGCTCCCGGCAATTGTCCACCCACAGGCTCTCCGCCAGGAAGGGTGCTGCAGGGTGTCCAGTGGCCGGGCCTGGGATGTGATGATTGACGGGTCAGAGGGCGAGGCTGGGGCTCAGAGACCACCGAGGGGTCCCTTCCTCCCACCTGTGGGCAGGTGCACGCGTTCGTCCCAGGGGCTCGTTCACCACACGGAGGTGTTTGCCCCTAGAATCCCCACAGACTCTAACCCAGGGCCACCGCCCTGCGTGGCATCGGCCACCTGCCCCAGGGCCGTGTGGCCAGGACGTGGGCCGAGCTCCTGGAGGGGGGGACCGAGGGCGGGCTGGGAGTGGGGACCCCATAAGTGTCAAGGAGGGGCTCGCTGTGAGTGAAGGCGGCCCCCCCAAGGCTGCTGTCCTCACAGCGCCTCGCTCAGCCCCGCGAGTGAACACGTGGCCATTACAGAAGCCGGAGCCCCTGTGGCTGCGGTGTTTGTGGGTGACGTGCCCGATGGAGAGGGGGGCCGTGGAGGAGACCCCGGGAGAGGAGTTCCCAGGCTCCCAGCGTGGACGACACCCTGGTTTTGGGGTGATTGCCTCAGTTCCTTTAAGGTTGAAGGGGGAATGGACCTGCACTTGCTCTAAAGCTACACTTGTTCCTCTGCAAAGCCGAGTGGAGAGATGGGCATGTGACCCGTTGGGGGGGGGGGCGGCATTCTGGGGGGCAGCTCCCAGCTGGGGTCCCGCCTTCCCCAGGGGCCTGAGGCCCCCACCTGGGCGTGCAAGGCCCTCCTCCCCCAGGCCCTCAAGACGAGATCCCAAAGGAGAACGTCGGTGCCGAAAGCCCCCTGTGCCGCTTGGGAATCAGTTACTCCCATGGACTGTCACTGACGCTCACGGTGCTGTGGTTCTTGGCGGCTTTACTGTTGTTCAACGAAGCGATTACATAGCGGCCGTGTCGCTTCCCAGTTCTAATTTCTAATGTGCTCGCATCACCGTGCAGCCCAGGTGAACAGGACTCGCAACTTACAGCACGGAAGGGCCTGAGGCCCAGGTCAGGGCGCGGCAGCCGGTCACGCGAGGTGACTGGTCTGTTAGTGCTGCCGGGCCGGTCGGGAGCACGGACGCACCTGGTCCCCGTGCCGGGCAGCGGGGTGGTCGCCCCTGGTCTCTGTGCTGGGCAGCAGGGTGGACGCCCCTGGTCTCTGTGCCGGGCAGCCGGGTGGTCGCCGTGCCGGGCAGCGGGGTGGTTGCCCCTGGTCTCTGTGCCGGGCAGCGGGGTGGTCGCCCCTGGTCTCTGTGCCGGGCAGCGGGGTGGTCGCCCCTGGTCTCTGTGCTGGGCAGCGGGTGGGCGCCCCTGGTCTCTGTGCCGGGCAGCGGGGTGGTCGCCCCTGGTCTCTGTGCCCGGCAGCGGGGTGGTCGCCCCTGGTCTCTGTGCCAGGCAACGGGGTGGTCGCACCTGGTGGCCATGGCCGGGCAGCGGGGTGGTCGCCCCTGGTCTCTGTGCCGGGCAGCGGGGTGGTCTCCCCGGCCGCCGTGCCGCCTGACCCCGCCCCCCCGCAGGGCCAAGCTGGGCATGCCCCAGTTCCTCAGCGTCGAGGCGCAGAGCCTGCTGCGAGCGCTCTTCAAGCGGAACCCGTGCAACCGGCTGGGTAAGCGCCGCCCGCGCCTGGGGACCCCGGGGACAGACACCTGCCCCCGCTCTGCTCCTGCTCCAGGTTCCCGGGGTCCCGGAGCGGGTGAGGGTGGGGGTGCTGTCGCCTGAGCTCCAAGGACATGAGGGCCCGCGAGGTCCAAGCTCATGGCCGCTGCCCAGGTGGTGAGAGCTGCTTTCACACCAGGTGGGGGCACCGTCCTGCCGGGTGGCCGCTCTGGGACTGAGACGAAGGGCAGCCCCTTAACTGCGAAGCCTCAGCAGGCGCCAGACCTGGCTTCCCCGAGGTCGCCACCCCGCACTCACCCCCATGGCCCGTCTCCGCGGGGCTCCCAGGGGCCTCTGGGGCCGCCCTCCACGGGGGGTGGGGGGCTCCCCGCTGACACCCGCGGGTCCGCCCGCTCATAGCTGTCCTGCGGCAGGTGCGGGCAGCGACGGCGTGGAGGAGATCAAGCGTCACCCGTTCTTCGTCATCATAGACTGGAACGTAAGTGGCCGTGGTCCCCCTCACAGTGACGGGGCGGGGCACACCGAGGCCACGTCCACTGTCACCTGGCGGCCTGGAGCCTCCTGGATGGGCTGGAGTCTCACGGGCACTGGCTCAGGGAAGAGATCCCACGTCACATGTGCCCTCAGCCTTTCCACAGAGTAAACAGAACGGCCACCCCTCAGCGGCTTCGTGTGTGGGAGGGTCCCCTACGTGCCCGCGGCCCCGCTGCTCTCCTCTTGCTCCCCTGCCCCCCTGGCCCCGCTGCTCTCCTCCTGCTCCCCTGCCCCCCCCCCGCCCCGCTGCTTTCCTCCCGCTCCCCTGCCCCCCCCCCGGCCCCGCTGCTCTCCTCCCGCTCCCCTGCCCCCCCCCCGGCCCCTCTGCTCTCCTCCCGCTCCCCTGCCCCACCCCCCGCCCCGCTGCTCTCCTCCTGCTCCCCTGCCCCGCGGCCCCACTGCTCTCCTCCTGCTCCCCTTCCCCCCACCCCCGCCCCGCTGCTCTCCTCCTGCTCCCCTGCCCCGCGGCCCCACTGCTCTCCTCCTGCTCCCCTTCCCCCCCCCCCCCCGCCCCGCTGCTCTCCTCCTGCTCCCCTGCCCCCCCCCCGGCCCCGCTGCTCTCCTCCTGCTCCCCTGCCCCCCCCCCCGCCCCGCTGCTCTCCTCCTGCTCCCCTTCCCCCCCCCCCGCCCCGCTGCTCTCCTCCTGCTCCCCTGCCCCCCCTGCCCCGCTGCTCTCCTCCCGCTCCCCTTCCCCGCGGCCCCGCTGCCACCGTCTCGCTTTCCCGCAGAAGCTGTACCGGAAGGACATCAAGCCGCCCTTCAAGCCCGCGGTGGGCCGGCCCGAGGACACCTTCCACTTCGACCCCGAGTTCACAGCCCGGACGCCCACGGGTGCGTGCCGCAGCGAGCGGGTGTAACCCTGGGTCCTTGCCGATGGCGGTCCGCCTACCTGACCCGGGAATCCGGGCTCAAGGCCCTTTCACGGGAAATAGTGGTCCGTTCTGTTGTGTTAGCTCTGCTGCAGGTTTTAGTGAGGCTCCTCAGGCACCACGACACCGAAAACCCACCACATGCACACGCCACGCTGCCCCCACCCCCACGCCGCCCCCACGCCCCTCCCGGAGCTGACCGCTCCCCTGCTCCCCCGCAGACTCGCCGGGCGTGCCCCCGAGTGCCAACTCGCACCAACTGTTCAGAGGCTTCAGTTTCGTGGCCTCCAACCTGGTCCAGGAGCCCCCGCAGCAGGACCCGCACAGAGCGGCCATTCACCCCATCGTGCAGGTAACGCCGCGGGCGGGCGGGGCGCGGCCACCAGTGTCGTCTCAGCCGAGGCGGGTGCTCCCCCCCGGACTCCCCGGGCCTCGGGCGTCCCTGAGAGCGGCCGTGGTGTCTGACCCCGGCTGTGTCCCCGCTCGCTCTTCCTGAGGGAGGGAGAGTCCTGATGGCGGTCAGGTGTGCGGGCCGAGCCACCAGGCCCCGGTGTCACGGGCGGGCGTCCTTGCTGCGGGGAGCGGAGCCGGGACCCAGGAGGCGCCTCTGGGTGCGGGAGCCACGTCCCTGTCGTGAGATGTGCCTGTGGGAGGTCAGGAAGGTGACTTTGTAGTTTCCTCCCTTATAAACCCAACCGGACAGGGGGGACTCCGTGCAGAAACCGTGATGACGTTGCATCTGACGCAGTCGGGGCGCGTGGGGCACTGGGCTCCACGTTTCTCTCCCCGCCGCCCTCTGGGGAAGAGAGCAGAGTGTCGGAGGGGGCGCCCGGCCTCGGTCTTGTATGCGGTGGTGACGGGGCCTCATGGGCTCAGATTTCCACTTAGATGTTGACGCGCAGACACGCGTGCGGGACGTAGCATCTGAGCCCCACGCTGGGCCTCCCGGGCACCGGCCGCTCCTGCTCCCAGAGTCTCCCTCCGCTGCTGGGGAAACTGGCCGCCAGCCGCCAGCCCCGCGGTGTCTGAAAGGGCGGGCACCGATAGGCGGGGGAGGCTGGGGTCCGATGGGGAACCGTCGTCCTAGCTCCGTGGCCTTGGCCAGTGGACTTGCCCCTCCCGGCCTCCATGTTGAGGCGCACAGCCTGGACCCCCTTTGCGCCTGCGCTGTGTGCCTCCCCCCTGCGAGAGCTCTGAGGGCCCCGCCTCCGTCCCCCAGCCTCAGGGTCGGGGCGCACAGCCTGGACCCCGGTGCACCTGCCCTGTGTGCCCCTCCCCTCCTCCCTGCGCTCGCCCATCCCGCGAGAGCTGAGGGCCCCGCCTCCGTCCTGCAGCAGCTGCACGGGGACAACGTCCACTTCTCTGATGGCTACGAGGTCAAGGAGGACATCGGGGTGGGCTCCTACTCCGTGTGCAAGCGGTGCGTGCATAGAGCCACGGACGCCGAGTACGCTGTGAAGGTGAGGCCCTGCCGGGCCGTGCTGAGTGCTGGCGCCGGGCCCTGGGCAACTGTCTGCACCCACCGGCCCCCGCCCCGCCCGCCCGCCCGCCACCTCCTAGGCTCCCACACGACGGGGTTCCCCTTACTCTGACGCTCGGTCCCCACTTGCACTTTATTTTGCACATCAGCATGTTTTCAGCTCTAGTCACCATCGAGGCACTGGCCCCCCCGCGCCCTTTGTTGGTGACCCACGCTGGAGCGGTAGCTTGGGCACCCGCGTTTGGGGATGTAGCGTTGGGGGCAGGCTTAGCTATTGGCAAAGGGAGGGGCAGAGAGGGAGGGAGGGGACGTGGATACAGCCCCCAAGAATCAAGCCAAAGAAATGGCCGCAGGCTCAACGCAGCCCGGCCAAGCCTCACACGGCAGCGGTGGCACGCTCAGCCCTCGTGAACAGTGACAGTGTCCGCCGCCCAACCTCTCACCCCACATGGGAGCTCTCGCTCTGTCCTTGTTGCGACATTAAGTGTTGGATCAGGAAATACAAAATGTCCGTTTCCTGGTGGGTCAGTGTGGGTTACAGGAAAGTTTCCTGCCACGTGGTAACCTAGTGTCTGGGAGAGGACACTGTACATTCTCGACAGGCTGCTCGGCCCCACCCAGCCGACCTGGATTTGGGGGCTGCGGGGGGGGACAGGTCCACCTGGAGCCATGGTCATCGGACGTGTCTGGATGCATGGCCATGAGCTGGTCCAAGGACACAGGAAGCTCCTTACCCTCCTGGGCCCAGAACTTCCCTGAGAGCCGGTGCCCACACCCCATGTCCTCAGAGGGCGGGGAGAGGGTGCCGAGAATTCCCAGGCGGTCGGCCTGGTCCCGGGGCGCGGGGGGTGGGAAGGTTCTGGCCTCTGGCGCTGTCTGTCCGAGAGCCTCACGGCGCCACGGCCTGTTCCAGATCATCGACAAGAGCAGGAGGGACCCCTCGGAGGAGATCGAGATCCTGCTGCGGTATGGCCAGCACCCCAACATCATCACCCTCAAGGACGTGAGTGCGCTGGGTGCCCGTTCCCGCCCGTTTCTCCCCGGTGCTCGGCCGTGCAGGGTGCAGGGTGCCGGGTGCCGGGTGCACGGGCCGCGTAGGCACCCAGAGTGAGAAGGCCAGGGCGAGGGGAGCTCCCTGTCTCTCACTTTCCTCGGGGGAAGCTGCCCCAGGGGACCAAATCAGCTTGCCGCCCCTGCCTGTCTGCACCGCGGGGTCTGGCTGCTCCGAGTCCTGTCCTGGCATAGAGGCCCGTGGGCTTGTCAGAGACGCAGGGTGGGGCTCTGCAAGGACCCATAGGTCAGAACCGGCCGTCCACACCCCCAGGTGCCAGGTGCACGGAGCGTCTGCACCCGCCGCCCTGGGCCTGCTGTGTGCTATGTGCAACCTCCACGTGTTCAGTGTCTACATGTCTGTGGGGGGCGGTGGGGGGGACAGGAGGTCAGGACTCATCCCAGCAGGAGCCTTGGCGTGCAGGCGTGAGCTCCTGCCCCACTGTCATTCCTGCCCGGCCCAGGTCATTCACGTTGGTTCTGTCCTCAGAGCCGCGCCCGAGTGAGGGGACTGGCCCTGCCCTCGTCCTACACCAGCCTTGCTTTCACAAGGGGGGTCCGGGAGCCCCTCCTCTCCCCCCCACCCCCCGCCCAAGCTGTCCCTTTCTCCGGGCACAAGTGCGCCTGGGGGGGTGGCCGTGGGGCACGCAGCACTGACCCCTGCGCCCTCCGGCCCAGGTCTACGACGAGGGGCAGTTCGTGTACCTGGTGACGGAGCTGATGCGCGGTGGGGAGCTGCTGGACCGTATCCTGCGGCAGCGCTGCTTCTCGGAGCGCGAGGCCAGCGCCGTGCTGTGCACCATCGCCCGGACCATGGACTACCTGCACTCGCAGGGGGTGAGGGGGCGTGGGCGCGGGGGTCAGGGGGAGCAGAGCTGTGCATGTGGCCTCCTGTGTCTGAAATCCCGGTGCAGGGACACCTAACCCTGCGGGGTGCGCTGGGCATGAAGCAAATAGTCCTCTTTTTATATAAATATCTTTATTGATTTCAGGGAGGGAGGGAGAGAGAGAAACATCAATGATGAGGATCACTAGTCTGCTGCCTCCTGCACGCCCCCCACTGGGGATCAAGCCCACAACCTGGGCATGTGCCCTGACTGGGAATTGAACTGTGACCTCCTGGCTCATAGGTCAACGCTCAACCACTGAGCCACGCTGGCCGGGCACAAATATTCATCTTTAGAAACCTTTATATTCAGGTTACCTGAACTCACCGCATTTCCTTTTTTTAAAAATCCTCACTCAAGGATATGTCTTTATTATTGATTTTTAGAGAGAGAGGAAGGGAGAGGAAAGAGAGAGAGCATCACTGTGAGAGAAAAACATCGATCCATTGCCCCCTGTACGTGCCCTGACGTGACCAAATCCGCCACCGGCCAGGGCAGTCGCCACACCTCCTGTCTCCCGGCCCCTGAGCCCCCCGTGTCCAGCATAGCTGCCCATTTGTTATTCATTCAGATCTCACTCACCGGAGAGGGGCTTGTGCGGGCTCCTCGGGTGTGAGTCAGTGTGAAGGGGGGCTGCCTTGCCCTGCTGCAGGGCTGCTCAGAGTAAAGGGCTCCCGAGTGAACCCCGGTTCCTGAGCACCCCTGCTCTCCCGCCCCCGCGCCCCCCACTGTCCAGGCCCCCGTTAGGCGGTCCCTCTGCCTCTGCAGGTCGTGCACCGGGACCTGAAGCCAAGCAACATCCTGTACGTGGACGAATCCGGGAACCCCGAGTCCATCCGTATCTGCGACTTCGGGTTCGCCAAGCAGCTGCGCGCCGAGAACGGGCTGCTGATGACGCCCTGCTACACGGCCAACTTCGTGGCCCCCGAGGTGAGCTCCCCAGCCAGTGGGGTGTGGCGGCCTTGCACACAAACCAAAGGCAGGGCCACTGACCTCAGACATGGCTTATTTTATCCGTTTATTGACTCTGCCCGCCTGCTCGCAGCAGCGTGACACAGTGGCCAGGGTGGGAGCTGCCTGGGGGTCACGAGGGCTGAAGGGAGCACCGAGTGTGGTCCGTCCACAGTGGGATGGGACGTGGCCCAGCCTTAGGGAGGGACATCCCGCCCCAGGCGACACGGGCACGCCTGGAGGACATTATGGGAGGAGATGGGCCAGGCACAGAGGGTGACGCTGTCTGGTACCTGGAGGGTCAGGTAGAGGCGCAGAGGGCGGGCGGGCAGGGCCCAGGAGCCGAGGGTGAGAGGGGCTGAGGTCAGGGAGACGCAGAAGTTCTGGAGGTGGAGGTGGTGGCTGACGCAGCGAGAGCGCACTCCGCGCTCTCCTCAGGCGGTTGGGGTGTCGGTGTTCCGTTCTATTTGACCTTCATGTAGCAGTTCTTCTGCCTTAGCAATGCGACGCTCCCTCCTCGGTCTGCGAGCCTGTGTCCCGCAGGCTGTGGCTCCCGCAGGGGCTGGCCTCTGGGGAGCCGTGGGGCGCGTTGGAGTGGCTTTGCCTGAATGAACGACACCCGTCCCCACGCTGCGGGATCCGGGCCCACGGGAGCAGCGCGCCGAGGCCTGCCTTGTCCCCGCCCGGTGCTCACCTGTGGCGTCTGCCCCCCAGGTCCTGAAGCGACAAGGCTATGACGCGGCGTGCGACATCTGGAGCCTGGGCATCCTGCTGTACACCATGCTGGCGGGGTGAGCAGGCCCGCCGGTGCCAGCGCCCGGCGTTCCGTCCACACAGAGGCGCGGGCCTGCAGCTGGCCCTGTGCCCTGTCCCCGGGCCCGGGTGTGGGCGAACCTCAGGCTCCCTCAGCCCCTTCCAGGAGAAGCGAGAAGCAGGCAGGGCCCGGGGCCACGCCTCCTCCAGGAGGCCCCTCCAGATTAGGGGCCCGGGCTGCAGGCCCCGCTCACCCACCCACACGCAGGCCTCGGGCCTCCGCCCACATCCTCCCGCCACAGGGCCACTCCCCGAAAGTGTCCACGCATCTGCTCCTTAAAACCATGTCCTGACGGCGGACAAAGGGTCACAGGTTCGATCCCGGTCAAGGGCATGCACCTGGTTGCAGGCTCCCTCGCTGGCCCCGGTTGGTCTGGCGCTTGCAGAGGCAGCCAATCCATGTCTCTCTCTCTCTCCCCCTCCCTTACACTCTCTAAAAATCTATGGGAAAATGTCCTCGGGTGAGGATTAACAAAAATAAAAATAAGTAAAATTAAAATCGTCCTGTTGAGCCAGGAAGCGCCCATGACGGCCTGGTCAGACAGCACCCGGCGGCAGGCAGCCGCTCGTGCCGCTGTGGCCGTCAGACGTGCGGGGACCCGTTTCCGGGACCAGGCACCCGGTGGTGGGGGACGTGTCTCCCTGCGAGCTCAGCTGCCGGCTGACTCCTGACCCCCGGAAACGCTCCCTCCCTCTGAATGAGAGGCAAACGCTGTGTGGTGTCTGAGGCTCCTCCAGCATCGAGTCCAGAATCCTGACCCCCGGTGCCCAGCGTTTCAAGTCGAATAAATACTCCACCCATCCTCTTTACGGCCGCAGGACCGGCACAGGGCCTCGCGAGGACGAGGGGGCCGGCCTGACGAGGATTTCCTCGTAAATCGGTGACTCGCCCGGAGGGAGGAGGGGGCCGGCTCCCTGGACTGAGGTCACGGCCTGGCTGTGAGAGCCACCAGAACCCCCTGCTCGGAGAGCGGGTACCCGTGAGCCCTGCTCTACACTCCAGGGGACAGTGCACACCGTCACGCGTTCACGGTGGGCACGCACTGAGCACGCATGTTCTGCGTGTTCGCCCGTGGTACTGAGGTCCCTGTGAGCCCATGATTCTACCCGTGTTGCAACTGAAGCCCAAAAATAATTTGTCAGAGAACCCAGAGTCTGTGATAGATGAACCAGGGGTCCCTCAGACCTCACGTCTCCAGCTCTCATCCATCATATCACGCTGTCACCATGGAGACCGAGCCAGGGGCCGACCACTATTGTACCCTGTTGCCAGGGAAGCCAGAAGTGGTCCAGGAAAGCTCGTGCTGGGTCCACGGAGCTTGGCTCACCTGCCCTGCTGACCCCGGCCGTGATCGCGTGAGGATGTGGACGGAGCACTAAGAAGTAAATCGTGCTTTACCATGAATGCTGGATTTGGAGCACAATGGGGCAGAAACGGCTGTTTTTAAATCTATATTTTTATTGATTTCAGAGTGAAAGGGAGAGGGAGAGACAGAAACATTAATGATGAGAGAGAATCATGGATCAGCTGCCTCCTGCACGCCCCCCACTGGGGGTCAAGGGCAAATCCCAGGCCTGTGCCCTGACCGGGAATCGAACCATGACCTCTGGCTCCTAGGTCGACGCTCAACCACTGAGCCACACCGGTCGGGCTAAGGAAAGGCCATTTTAACAACCAAAAGGCAGGATTCCGTTGTGAACTTTGAGATCATGCGGCCTCACCCCATACACCCTCTCGTTCCGCAGATTCACGCCTTTTGCTAACGGGCCGGACGACACCCCAGAGGAGATCCTCGCGCGGATCGGCAGTGGGAAGTACGCGCTGTCCGGGGGCAACTGGGACTCGGTCTCGGAGGCGGCCAAGGTGAGCTCACGCCCGGGGCTGCCTCGGGGAGGGCGCTCAGGGCAGCCATTCATCTGCCCCCTGAGCCAGGGGGCCCTTCACGCCCACAACGCGGATGTTTCACCTGCAAGATTGTTTTCAAAGCCGCTCAGCTCAAAAAGGTTTTGGCAAAAACATGTTACAGCCCTTTTCACGTGTTCTACAGTCCTGGTGTAGCAGAGCCCTGGGATGTGTGTGTGACACAGAGAGACAGAGAGAAGCTGATATTTTTAGAAATGGGCCTGCGGGCCCTGGCTGGTGTGGCTCAGCGGGTAGAGCGTCGGCCTGCGGACTGAAGGGTCCCAGGTTCGATTCCGGTCAAGGGCACAGGTTCGGGTTGCGGGCTCGATCCCCAGTAGGGGGCGTGCAGGAGGCAGCCGATCAATGATTCCCTCTCATCATTGATGTTTCTATCTCTCTCCTCCTATCTGAAATCAATAAAAATATATTTTAAAAATAAAAATAAATAAAAATGGGCTTGCGTGACCATGGAGGCTGGGAAGCCCATGTACAAGGCAGGCGGCAGCTGGGGACGGAGAACAGCGGCCAGGCCTGCCCTCGAGGGGGGAGGGCTCCCGGGCGGCTGTGACCACTCGCTCCCTCTCCCGCCTCCGGCTCCCGCAGGACGTGGTGTCCCAGATGCTGCACGTGGACCCGCAGCAGCGCCTGACGGCGCTTCAGGTCCTCAAACACCCGTGGGTGGTGAACCGAGAGCACCTGCCCCAGAGCCAGCTCAGCCGGCAGGACGTCCACCTGGTGAAGGTACTCGGGTGTCAGGAGGGCGGGGGGGAGGGTGCGGGGGGGAGGACAAAACAGTGCTGTGATGCCTCCCCGTTCACCTCAAGATTCAGAGCGCAGAGTTCATCACATACATGCAACACGTGCAGGATGCTGAGTAGTTACAGCTTCTGCTCCATCTCACAGCTTCAGTGCACGAGAGAGAGAGAGAGAGAGAGAGGGAGAGAGAGAGAGAGAAAGAGAATCGGGGCTGTGCCAACTCCTGGCCCCAAAGTCCTCAATTCTAGACCAAAGGTCTGCACTTCTCCAACAGCCCAGACAGTAAATATTTGAGGCGTTTCCAGCCGGATGCCTCTGTCTCAACTCTGCTCCACTGTGTCACACAGAAACACCCGAGACAGCAGATCCGCGGTCAGTCGGGTGCGGCTGCATTTGGTAAAACTTTGTTCACAAAGCAGCAGCCACCCCCACCCCCACCCCCTTCACACACACACACACACACACACACACACTCCCGTAATATTCTAATAGATTCCCTGGCACATCCCCAGTGCGGGGAGTACAGGAGGCAGCCCGTCAGTGATTCTCTCATTGTTGATGTCTCTCTCTCTCCCTCTCCCTTCCTCTCTCTGAAACCAATTTTTTAAAAACTTGTAAGTGGCCAAGAGGAGGTGGCCAGGCCCTGACCGGGTGCCAATGTGTGGTGGGGACATCGCAGGCCGAGAGCAGGCAGGCACCTGCCAAAGCGGGGGCAGTTGACCTCAGCCTGGGGCCCCGTGCGCGTCTGGAATATGTGCCCCAAGTGACCAGCGCAGCTGCTGCTGAACACAGAGATGAGACCGCAGGTCCCTGCAGCTCTCGGCGTCCCGCGGCGGCCCTGTGCCCCGCACACGTGGGGAACCGAGGCCCAGAGGCCACGCCGCCGGCTCTGGCAGGAGCGGCGGCCCCGCAGTCACTGCCTCTCCCTTGTCTTGCAGGGCGCCATGGCCGCCACCTACCTTGCCCTCCACAGGACGCCCCAGGCCCCGCGGCTGGAGCCCGTGCTGTCGTCCGGCCTGGCCCAGCGCAGGGGCATGAAGAGACTCACGTCCACGCGGCTGTAGCCAGCAGGACCCAACGCCTGGCTGCGGGCACCAGCCTGGGACCTGGGCATGGGTGCTGCTTGAGCGACCACGGGCGCCTTCGCTGGGCCCGCGTTTCCCCTTCAGCCTGAGAGGGTCCAAGGGCGCCCTCCCCACACCTCGCTCTGCCGCCCCCTTCCCCGGCGGCCGCAGGGACTCCTGTCGCCACTGCACGCGAAGGCCTTCCCCACCCCAGCACCTGCTTACCCGGCGGATCTGCCACATGAGGGCCATGGTCAGGCAGGAGGAAGCGGGCATGGCAGCGCCTCCCTGGAGGGGCCAGCTGCGAGGGCCCCGGATGCCGGCGGCTGAAGGTGACAGAGGGCATGGGCACAGGAGCAGAGCCCTGCCCCTGACTATGACCTACGTCTTGATGGCCTCGTCTCGCTTCCCTATGTGTGTGATGAGGTCCGGGCTGTGTCCTCGCAGCAGATCTGAGCGGGAGGCACCCCCAGAACCGCCTGCGCTCGGCCTTGGTGCCCCCTTGGTGCCCAGAAGGAGCCAGCAGGCGCCCGTGCAGCCCGCCCCGGCTCTGGATGGCAGCGGCCCCGGGCCTGGGCGTCCCGCGGGCTGAGGGCCTGGCTTGGTCGGCTTGCTCCCTCCCCTGTCCCGGAGACACTGTGACCTGGGGACCCTGACCTCGGGCCTCTGTCGCCCACTGGGGTCGGGGGCACGCCCGGGGCTGCGTCCACACGGGAAGCCCTTTGTGGAAGCGGAGCTGTGTGAGCTGCGCCTGCTGCAGGGTCTGTCCTCGGCCAGTGAGTCCGTGTGTCCCGGGTGCACGCGGGTGCTCAGGCTGCGCCCCTTCGTTAATAAAATCCTGACGGCTCCACCCGGGGCTGGAGGAGGCAGCGCCTGGGTCCTCATCTCCTCCAGCTCGTGCCCAACCGGGGAGCCACCCCCGCTGGGCGGAGGAGGATTGTCACTTGTCTGTCCCTCTGTCCGTCCCTCTGTGCTTAGGCCAGGCTACAGGATCGACTGTTGGGCACAGCCAGGTTTTCCCTAAAAAGACGATATTTTATTGTTTCTTTTGTCCTTCAATCTCAACTCCAGTACCACACACACACACACACACGTGCATGCACACGCACACACACACACAGGCACAGACACACACACACACGCACGTGCACGCACAGGGGCCGCTGCTGGAAAGCGCCTCCCGCGTGGGCTGTGGCCTCAGACCCAGCAGGTGAACGGGGGTCCACACAGCGCTTTCTCTCCGCACAGCAGACGGAGGCGGGATGGAGGCGCCGGTTCCCGCAGAGCCCACTGGCCTTGCTGTTTTCTCAGTGGAAAGCGCTCCCCTGGCTCCGTGACTCCCGCCGCCCGTCTGCTTGGGTCTGAGTTGCTTTACTTATTACCAGAAACGGGGAACCAGGGCGCCTGCAGGTCCTGGGTTCACCCTCCTAGAAACCCGCCCAAGTCATGCGTCCTGTTTGCCGGGGCCCCAGCTGCCCATCGCGCCCTTGGCTGGGTGTCTGGGGGGCGGGGGAGGAGAGGGTTTTGGGGGGGTGCTGAGCGCTGCCGGGGACCCAGAGCTGAGAGCCCTGAGCAGGGAGCAGAGCGAGGACCCCTCCCTCCCCAGCGAGGAGTCCCTGAGAAGAGACGATGCCACACTGGAAACCGAGCTTCCCCAAGTCTTAGGTGACAGGGCGGGGGCCGCACCCTCGGTGGGAATGACGGGGTCTGAGAGTTCACACGCTTGCGCGGGGCTCCCCGAACCTGGCGCCCGGGAAGGCTCCCCAGGATTCGCACAGACGGCAGGAAGTCACAGCCCTGCTCACACCTCGGACCGCACCCCCGGTCAGACACCCGGACTCTGTCCTGAGGAAACCACACCCTGACCTCGGCCTCCAGCCCCCCCTCCCCCTTGCGGACCCTTCAGGTGGGCCCCCAGTTGGAGAAACCTGGCCCGCCCCTCGGTGTGCGCCGCCGCCCAATCTGACGGGCGAGGGTGAGTCACCTCCGTCCCAGGAGAGACTGCGAGGACCTGACCAGCCTCGCGGGTCCGTGTCCAGGAGGCTGACCCCCTTCTGCAGGACAGTGGCCAGTGTTGGCCAGTGTGGCTCAGTAGACAGTGTGTCCCCCAGGCGCGGCTGGGCCCCTGCATGGCGCCGACTGCACTGTGCCCCCGAGAGCAGAACGGGACCCCACGCGACCAGCGAGGAACAGCCGGGGACTCCCGGTGGCCTCGCCCAGCTGGGGGGGCCGAGGGGCCTCCAAGGCTGTGCCGCCCACGGAGGCTGCACCGACCTGCTCTCCGCCCGCCGCCCCGCCCCGCCCGCACTTCGCTCGCCGCCGGTGATGTTTACAGGCCTCTGTGCGCTTGCGGGTTGTGTTTGCGGTGGGCGGCCCTGCACACGTATTTATTACGCTTTCCAGACTTTCTGAATAGGTTTTTTAAATAAACACGGGTTTTATGACGTGCAGTGTGTTCCTAGCGCAGCCTCCGACTGTCTGTATTGTCACCAAACGGTCTGCACCTCGCTCCTTCCTCCTCGACCGGGGACTCCGCCGCCCTGCGCTGCCGGGGGCACTCCATGGGGCGGCCGACCGGCACGGCTCCCCCAGATGTGTGTGCGTGTGCGCATGCGTGTGTGTACATGTGTGCATGCATGTGCAGTCCGTGTGTGCACGTGCATACATGTGTGTGCACTCCGTGTGTGTGTGCATGCATGTGCGCGTGCATGTGTGTGTGCGTGCACTCCACGCAGAGCCCGGTGTGTGATGGGACGGGGCACCGGCAGGAGCCAGTGGAGGTCGTGTTGGTGAAGCAGGCAGCCTGGGGTGGCCGCGGGGAGCTGTCCCCACACCCCACTACCTGCCCCGCACTCCGCCCTCCTTTCTTTATACAGAAATACAACCGGGAGGTCCGCTGAGGGTCTTCACAAAGTAAATGGCATCGAGGATGTGCCTGGCAGAGGGCAGAGGCCGTGGGCCATGGGGAGGGCGCGGTGGGCACATTCGGACGGGCCAGAGAAGGCGCCGCTGGGCGGCGAGAGGCTGTGGGCAGATGGGGGGGACGGACATTCTGGTCATGAGCGCCCCTAAAACTCGGGCTCCGTCCCGCAGACAAAGCCCACCGGTCCTTCGCATGCGGCTCAGGCGTGGTCCCCACTGGGCCTTGTCCAGCGAGGTGGGCACTGGGCACCGAAGCGGGTCTGGTGCAGGGCACTTCCCTGCCTCCGGGAGCAGCCTGCGGCCACAGCCGCCTGTCCCCGCCCAGCTGCAGGCGGTGCCTGTACAGACTGAGTGGGAGCGGGAGGCTCTGAGCCGGGACCTGCGGGCCCAGCGCTCCCCCAGCACGACCCGTGTGGCCTTGAGGCTCTACCCAGGGCTGTGCTGTGCTCGGCGAGAAGGCCTGTGGGCCCTGGAGATGGTCACTCAATTCTCTTCCTCCCAAGACCTCGCCGCTTCCTCTGGGAAGCCTGGCGGCATGTGTTTGAACTGGCACAACCCGCCACCAGGGGGCGAGTCCAGCCGCCTCCAAAGGTGCCCCTGGCCCTGCAGGGGCTGGAGGAGGGCTCCCCACTCCACCTGCCACCCGGGCTCTCAGCCGGGGGGAGTCTGCGATCTGCGTCCACGTGGAGAAAAACGGTGTGAGGTCGTGAACGTGTGCGTCGCTGACCTGCAAAGGGAGCTGCTTCCTCTCATTAGAAGTCGCCGCCTTCTCCCTGCCCCCACCCACCCAAAGCCCCGGGAGCTTTATGCTTTTAAAAATATATGTCAATTGATTTCAGACAGGAAGGGAGAGGGAGGGAGAGATAGGAACATCAGTGATGAGAGAGTGTCACCGACCTGCACGCCCCACACTGGGGATCGAGCCTGCAACCCAGCGTCCAACCATGACCCCTGGTTCATAGGTGGACACTCCACCCCGAGCCTCGTGGCCGGGCCTGGGAAAGTTGACTGACACGCAGCACGAGTGGTGCTGGAAGGGGAGAGCGCGTGGCTGTGGCAGCTGGGAGCCACGGTCCCGGCTCCCATTCCGGCTCCGGCTCCGGCCCCTGTGAGCTGCGTGGGGGCCATGGCCGTGGGGCTTCTGTGAGATGACTGTGGGAAGACGTGTGGCTGTCCCTCCTTCCTCCTGTGGGGACGTGTGTGAGGGTGCACGGAACACGGGGGGGGCAGCCACACCGCGTCCCCCCTCACTCGGGGGAATGTCCAGTGCCCCCCAGGCAAACAGCCAAGGACACCAGGCTCGCTCGACCAGCGCACCCTTCCTTTCGGGGTGGAGACGCCGCCAGCGGTGATGGGCCAGGACAAACCAAACATCAGCTCTCAGATACGCTGCTGAGGACCGCCCGCAGACCCGACCGCCCGCAGACCCGACCGCCCGCAGACCCAGCCGCCCGCGACGTGGACGCTGCTCTGGGGCCGAGCACACGGACCGGAGCCGTCCCACGCTGGCCCGCTCAGTGGGTGGCCGGTGTCTGGGGAGCGCTGGCCTTGCTCTGCGGCTCGGTGTGTCTCTAACCTGTGTGCAGCGTCGCACCCGCAGTGTGTCCGCTTCACACGCGCACAGCTCAGCGGCCGTGCGGACCTCCGGGGCTCGGGTCGCGCTGAGAGACGGGCCAGCGGAGGCCTTGACCACGTCAGCAGCGTTCCCGCTCCCCGCCCGCGGCTCCGGCTCAGGGGAGGCGCCGCTAGGGGAGGCTGACCGAGCTTGTGCGGTGCCTTGGGCAAGACCAGAGGAAAGTGGCACAAGAACCAAGGCCAGGGCGACACCGGACTGGGCGCCGGAGGAAACTAGCAACCGGCCCCGCAACTCGTGGTCGGTGAAGAAAATCCACATTCATGGGAAACATGTCAGGCCCACAGTATGCACTCAGAACATACATAAATTTTTCGACTGCTTGAAACACCATTTAGGTTTTATTTTATTTTTATTTGTTTATTTTTAAGTATATTTTATTGACTTTTTTACAGAGAGGAAGGGAGAGGGATAGAGAGTTAGAAACATCGATGAGAGAGAAACATCGATCAGCTGCCTCCTGCACACCTCCTACTGGGGATGTGCCCGCAACCAATGTACATGCCCTTGACCGGAATCGAACCTGGGACCCTTCAGTCCGCAGGCCGACGCTCTCTTCACTGAGCCAAACCAGTTAGGGCTTATTTTTATTTTTTAAATATATATTTTTATTGATTTCAGAGAGGACTGGAGAGAGAGAGAAACATCAATAATGAGAGAGAATCATGGATCGGCTGCCTCCTGCATGCCCCCTACTGGGGATTAAGCCCACAACCCGGGCATGTGCCTGGAATCGAACCATGACCTCCCAGTTCATAGGTCAACACTCAACCACTGAGCCACACCAGCCGGGCATCATTCAAGTTTTTAAAAAGCGATAAACTGATCTAAAATGCAGCTAATCAACTAATCAACTCCAGTATGGAACAAGATACGAATGAATGAAGGCCGCTGGGCTGCTCGGGTGCGAGCCGCCTCCCAGGCCAAGACCAGACTAGCAGCGTAGACAGAGACGTCGCCAGCCCTGGCCAAGAGATGGGAGCGTGGAGTCTTTGCGACACTATGAAGAGGGCCCTGGACAGAGTTTAAACTCGTTCGGTTCCTGTGTCCTAGTGCTCCGGCCCTTCATCCATTCACAGAACGACCGAAAGAGATGGAAGCCAGGGAATGCGGCCGTGCTTGCCGGCGCCTGTCCGCTGGGTCGTGGAAGAGCTCCAGGAGATTTATGTCGACATGACCGCCAACTCAGGAATTTCTTGAAATGACGGGACCCCTTGCCAAATGGCTAATCGAGGGCCAGGGCGGCGTGCTCCCTCCCCAGTGTCGCAGCCTGTGAATGAGCACAGCCTGGAGCTTACAAACCTCCTTTCGAAGATGGTTTGTGCTCCCGCTGCACAGGGAGGCAGGAGGACCCATTTACTTATTTATTTTTAAAAGATGTTTTTATTGTTGATGTCAGAGAGGAAGGGAGGGGGAAGGAGAGAGAGAAACATCAATGATGAGAGAGAATCATGGATCGGCTGCCTCCTGCACGTGTCACGCTGGGGATCGAGCCCACAATCTGGGCATGTGCCCTGAGCAGGAATTGAACCGTGACCTCCTGGTTCAGAGGTCTATGCTCAATCACTGAGCCAGGCCTGGAGACTTTATTTGCAATTGAAATTTCTGGAATACAAACCAGTCGTCATGATTTTGGAAACATTTCTAACAGTGATGGTCAGCCTTGTGCGAATCAGCTGCAAAGTCTGCCCCAAACGGAGGCGATGCCGGTCAGTGTGGGCAGCCACTGACCTTTGAGTTCAAAGGGAACACAACGGAGTTGCAACAAGAGGAGGGAATTTACTTAACGTGAACCCAGGTCATTGCGAAACCAATGTTGCTTCTGCTTCAAAGTAAATTCTTCTGAAAATGATGAGCTGGTTTTGTCCATGTGAGTGCCAAGGTTAAAGGAGAACGATTTGGGGAGGTGCTCAGTTCAGTCTGGAATTTCCATGTGTGGCATAGCCTGGGAATGAGGACAGACATCGGTAAGTGGTAAACTCCACGAAACTTAAATGCAGATCGAGCTTTGCCAATGAAAACGTGGCAGCCGAATTGAGATGAATTGTAAGTCTAACATTCACACCAGATTTACCAGGCTTAGTATGAAAAGAAGAACCTAAAGTATTTCAATAATAACTTTTATGTTGGTTACATATTGAAATAACATCTTAGATCAGTGTTTCTCAACCTTGGCTGCACATTAGAATCACCTGGGAATCTTTTTAAAATCCTGATTTCTGGGCCTCATCCTCCGGAAATTCTGTTTCTTTGTTACTAATGTTGTGGCCCCACCCCATAACAAAGAAACAGAATTTCCGGAGGATGAGGCTCAGAAATCAGGATTTTAAAAAGATTCCAGGTGATTCTAATGTGCAGCCAAGGTTGAGAACCACTGTCTTAGATGGTTTGGACTAAATAGACGAGTAAAATCAATTCCACCTTTTCCTTTTACGTTTTAACGTGGCTACGGAAGCCTCACGTGGCTACTGAAGCCTCGCATTCGGCGGGCGGCTCCCGTTAGGTTTCCTCTGGGCTGCGTCCACCCGGATGGTCAGTCCCCTGGGCGTGTGGCCCAGAGGGCTCCGTCCCCCTGTGTCCTCTCCAATGCTCCCTCTCGGACAGGTGCCATCCTTGGGCTAGTTCCTCTCACCCTTTCATTCCTGGGACCTGGGGCGGAGCTACAGGCTCAATTGGATTCAGGTCCCTGCGCTGTGCACTTGATGTCACACGGCTCCAGGAGACACCCCGCCCCCCGCAAGCCCTCAGTGCTCGTAGCATCCATCGCGTGATCCGTCCGAATCGGTCCCTCACAGGGACTGCCACCTGGCTTCTTCCCCTCCTACCCTTCCTCCTTCCTCACTCGCTGGGCTCGCCCTGAAGAGACTCCTTCGCCCAAGGCTGCCTGAGACAGTTCACACAGCTACTGCTCTCACGGAAACTGCCGAGAGTCGGCGCCCTGATCATGGCAGCGTCTCAGGGGTTATTTGCTTTCCTATGCACCTTTTTGAGGTTTTAAAAAAATTACTGTTTTTTAAAGTAGCCCTAACCGATTTGGCTCAGCAGATAGAGCAGTGGTTCTCAACCTGAATGACCCTTTCACAGGGGTCACCTAAGACCATCGGAAAACACATATATAATTACATATTGTTTTGTGATTAATCACTATGCTTTAATTATGTTCAATTTGTAACAATGAAATTGGGGGTCACCACAACATGAGGAACTGTATTAAAGGGTCGCGGCATTAGGAAGGTTGAGAACCACTGGGATAGAGCGTCGGCCTGCGGACTGAAGGGTCCCAGGTTCAAGTCTGGTCAAAGGCATGTACCTTAGTTGCGGGCACATCCCCAGTAAGGGGTGTGTGTGTGTGTGTGTGTGTGTGCAAGAGGCAGCTGATGGATGTTTCTCTCTTCGATGTTTCTAACTCTCTATCCCTCTCCCTTCCTCTCTGTAAAAAATCAATAAAATATAAAAAAGTGTTTCAATGTAACTTTTATGAGATATAATTCCATAGCATCTAATTCACCCCCTTCAGGTGTGTAATTTGATGGCGTTTAGCATATTCACAAAGTTGTGCAACCACCACTATAACCGTCAGGCCATTTCCATCGCCCAGGAGGACAGCGCATGCTGGCGGTCAGTGCCGACTCCCCAGCTCTCCCGGCCACAGGCAGCCCCCCTCTATTTCCTGCGTCCGTGGACTGTGTACTCTGGACATTCACACACATGGGATCCCACGATACAGGCTCCCTCATGTCTGCCTTCTTTCCTTTAATTTCTGCCCGGAAATGTAAACTCAACATTGAGCACATGCTTACACCCGCTTCACAGTCACGGTTTTTGCTATTATAGGAATTTCTGCTTAGAAAGCCTTTTGTCCAGCTGAACATGGCTCAGGAGACGGCTGCTCAGCATCGGAGAGGATCACAGGCCAAGAGAGGCCTTCTCCGCCCGCCAATGTCGCAGGGGAAGTTTGGTGTGGTTTTGTTTGTGTGTCTGTTTGTGGGGGGAGGGGGAGCAGTTTGGTTTTTATCCAGGAAGCCATGCAGTTTCTTACACCCCCCTCCTGGGTTGATAGGAGGAGAAACGGTGTACAAGTGCCTACGGGTCAACAGGAGGCACCTGTTACCATTGTTAATCATCAAACCCCTTTGCCTCCCTTGAGGGCGTCCACTCCACCTCCCGGGAAGCACCGGGGCTGTGCCAACCTTCCCCGCGCTGCCAGGAGGCCGCAGTGTCCAGCCCGGGACTCACAGACCAAGGCCAGGCTGACCCGGGGCCATCCCCGCAGAACACGATTCGGATCCAATCAGCGACTTGCTGTTCTAGTTCTAAAAAGCAGTTCTTCTTTAGCGCATTTATTTGTTAAGAGCGAACACCTGCTCATCCTACGAACGTCAGAGGGAGCAGGAGGGTAGGCGAGGCCTTTCCCGCGTCCCTCGAACCCGTAACCCTCCTTAGCCCCGACGTTTCTCCGGTCTGCTGTCCCGTGGTCCTTGTCCCTGTGCGCACGCGAGCAGCATATCCGACACCGTTCTGCGCCTGGACGCTTTTCCGGTGAACGTAACGGTCGCCCCGGCGCACACCGAGGCCTCTTCTTGCTGCTGCTGCACAGCGTCCCCTCGACCGGACCGGAGGCACCGGGACCACCTCGCTCTCCCCGCGGGAGGGGCGCCCGCAGCTCGCAGTCCGCGCACTGGAGGGGCGTGCATCGCGGGAGGGAGGGAGGGAGGGAGGGGCGCCCGCAGCTCGCAGTCCGCGCTCGGGAAGGGCTGCCGCCCGCGGGACACGGCACACCCGCCGTCCGGGGCGCTGTGGCTCCAGAGCCGCGCGTGCTGGCCCATCACCGATGTGAACACGCGCCCGAGTCACCGTCCCCCAGGAGATGCTCCTGGGCCAAGACCGTCCCTGCAGCGTCTCCAATGCCCGAGTCACCCACACGGAGGCCCGGATGGAGAATCAAACATAAAAATTAACCCTGAACGACAGAAACCGCCCCGCCGAACCCTGTGGCTCCAGGCTCCTCGCACGCCGGGCCTGCGTGGCCTTGGCGGCAGCGCGGGGCAGCGAAGTGGGGGGGGGGGGGACGGACCGGGCGCGGCGCGGGGACCGGAGGGGCGGGCGCCGTGCCCTTGAGCGGACGCCGCCGGAGTGTCACCGCCCAGCAACCGCCTAGCAACCGCCCGCCAGTCGCCGCCGGGTCCGGCCAGTTTACGGCAGAGGCCCCGCCCCCGAGCGCCCGGGGGGCGGGGAGAAGGTGTGCGGCGCGCGCGGGCCAATCCGCTGGCCGCCTCCCGCCCCGAGCCCTCCCATTGGCCGAGCGCCGGCGGCCGTAAGGCGGGGCCGAGCTGTCGTGACGCGGGCGGCGGGCGGCGTGTGTCCCCTCTGTCCGCTGGGCCTGGCTGCGGGGCTCCGAGTGGCGGCGGCGACGGCGGCCTGCGTGCGGCACGGCCATGGCGGGCGCGCTGGTGCGCAAGGCGGCGGACTATGTGCGGAGCAAGGACTTCCGGGACTACCTCATGAGGTGGGCCCGGCCGCGACGCGAGCTCCGGGAGGAGGGCCGGGCGGGGGCGCAGGGGCCGGGGGCTCCCCTCTGCACCTGCCGCCCGGTGCACCGGGGTGAGCCGGGGCGCGCGGGGGAGACGCCCGGGGCGGCGCGCGGCCGGGAAGGGCCTGCAGCCTGAGCCCTGCAGCCGGGACGAATGTGCGGCCGAGGCTGCCTCTCCCTGTTGTCATCTCACCGACTTGGCGTCCGCGCGTAGGCGGGAGTGAAATCCAAAATGTCCTCAAGCGCGAGTCTGCGGCCCCGGGTCGGACCGTGCGGCCGAGGACCGGCGTGTCTCTCTCCGCTCCCCGGTGGCCCTGCCCTTCCCGTCGGGAGCGGAGGGCTCCCCGCGCCCCGTCCCCCTGCCCGGGAAGCCGCCGCGCCCCCCACCCCCTGCCGCCGGGAAGCCACGCTGCGCTGCGCGTTGGGGGCACCGGGACTAGTGAGTGTCCGCGCGGCTCCCGGGGACGGCGCCGCGTGGCTGCCGGGGGCGAGTGCCCGGGGGCGGCCCCCGCGGGCACCTGGGCCGCCTCACTCTAACCCCGGGCCTGGCCCGTCCGTGCCCGGAGGCGCTGAGGACGCCCCTGGTGCCCCGGGGAGGCGCGGGGCGGGGGGACCCCCTCAGTGCGCGCCCAGGGGCCCGCTTGTGTGAGCGCATGTTTTTTTTTTTTTTTGCTGCCGCAGTGTGCTGAGCGCCCTGTGCAGCGGACCCCTCCCCTCCGCGCCTCCCCGTCCAGGTCCAGGTTTGGCGCCGCCTTTGTTGGGGAACTAGTTCTTCCTGCCGTTCCTGGCAGCAGCGGGTTCACGGTGTGGCTGCCAGGCGTCCGTGTGCAGGGCTTTCGGACTGAACCGGATTGAACCGCGTCTGCGGGCAGGAATTTCCTTCTCCATGTCCCTCATGCCGACCTCCTGGCCGGTGCAGGTCTGAGGAGGGGCCGCGCACATGCGAATGGTGCCCAGGAAATGGGCCCGAAGAAGGCCTGCGGCCAGTGGAGGCCTCGCTGGAAGAGGCACCGGACTCCGGGCCCAGTCTGGCCCGGTCCAGCTCGGTCCGCCTTATGTGGACACACGTTTGCCCCTTAGCAAGGCCCGTAGGCAGATGCAGGTAACGGTGGGTAAACAGTGGGAGGGCCATCAGGTGGGGAGCTGCCGGGCGGGCGGGCGGGCGGTGTTAGGCTGCTTTTCAGCCCTGCCCTGCGGAGGGCCAGAGCCCATGGGCTTCCAGCGAGATCTTGCTGCGTTCACAGCTCACTGCGCTGCCTCAGCCGCCGGCACCTTACGTTTACTGACGCCGCCTGTTGTGAGCCAGGTAGAGCTTGAACTATTGCACTGCAGGGAGAGTCCTGATGGAAAACTAAAGTAGCTCCAGGATGGCATTCTGGTGGTCGGCACTGCCTCTTCTGGAACATTTTTGTAGGGACAGGAATGCGTTGTTGCCAACGTGCAGCTCAGTACGAGGCCTGTGCTCAGACCAGGAGCCCAGCCGTGTCCGGAGCGTGGCCCGTGGCAGCCCCGCTAACCCCCCCAACCCCCACCCCGAGGTCCTCGGCCTCCGCCTGGGAAGCGCTGTCGCTGTCCCGTGGACTCGCTGTGACGGCCTGGGGCACAGTTCATTAGGCTTCTGCTGATATTTCGCAGCAGAACCTGCGCAGCTCCGTCAGCCAACAATTCATGCTGTAAACTGGAACCGCCAGACTCTGACCAAAACCTCTGCAAGTGTCGGGCGCGTGTCTGTGGGAGATTTTATCAGTATTTCAACAACTCGTTCCGTGGGTAAACTTTAAGATTCTGCCTTCACAGAACAATTAAGCTGTAGCCTGGCAAGAAGAATTGCCATTTCAGAAATAAAAGGCATTCGCTATAGAACTTTCCATATATTCTAAATGGGCTGAAGCTTAGCGTTGAGGAAAACGGTTCAGTTGACATTGAAAGTTTTTCCTATTCATTTATTCAATAACTATTTCTTTGAATGCCTTGTGAATGGAAGGCACCGCTTCAGGTCCCTGCCTCTCAGTGGTAAACAGAAATAACATCACGCCTCTTCCTAGGGGCTTCATTCTGGTGATAACCTTAGTCAGTGAAAGTGGGACGTTGGTTGTTAATAAAACCCTGCAGCCTTGTGCTTCTCTCCAGCTCGTCATTTTCTAAGGAACGGCCCTGTAAGCCCGTGCTGTGTGGTGTGAGAGCCGCGAGCCCCTGAAATGTGGCCGGTCCCCACAGGTGCCCCGTCAACACACGCCGAGTCTCAGACACGGCACAAAATAGAACACAGGATACCGCACTCAGGCATCGCCGCTGGTTGTGTGTTCAGATGGAAGGACTTCGGACATGTGGGAATAAATAAACTTAATAAAACTAACTTCTGTTTTTCCTTTTAGAAATGTTTAGATTGCATACGTGGCTCCTACTTGTGAATTGCATTATGTTTCTATTGGCGCCCTCTAAGGATCACACTTTTTTTTAAAATAAAATTAAGGTTTAATTTCATTAGGTCCAAGTTGTTATTAGAAATGTCACTAGACTTCCCTGGGAAAAGAGCCAAGCTGCCCACCCCGCAGCTCCGGCACCGAGACTGCGCAGACTGAGGCCCAGGTGGCTCGGGGACCCGCCTCTGAAAACGCCTGACCTTCTCCTTCTTTTTCTTTTCATGTCTCCGTCCGAACCGTGGTGATTTCTCACAAAACAGCACGGTAAGAAAATCCTTCCTCCGTCACTTCAGGCTGTTGCAGATCCTGCATCAACAGAGTTAGGGACAGCAGACCCCTTTGCTGGAGGTAGCGGGACCAGCACCAGGGCGGGGGGAGCGGGCTGAGGGCGCCCTCTGGTCCCTCCTAGAGTCCCGCCTCGCTGGTAGCAGTGGGCACAGAGCCTGGCTGCTGGCGGCACAGACTCCACCCAGTCAGTAGCCAGGTCATGGCGCTTCATTCGTGTGGATGTTCTTTAACCCAAGTTACGAATTTATAATGAAATAGAAGTATTTTCCCATTTAATCCAAAATATGTTAATTTTTTCCTTTCAAATATTTATCATGAAATTCCTTCTTTTTCTAGACATTATGGTGACTCTCTGCTAGAGCGTAGACTAACGTACTTTATAAAGGGACGTGAGCGCGAGAGCCTTGCCCTAGTTAGAAAGCGCGTATTAAGCTTGCTGAGGTAGGTACCTTAGTCAGCTAGTGTGCAAGTTACTTTTACCTTTCAGGGACTTTGTAAGAGATGGTTTAAGTGCCGGTCATGCTCACGGCCACAGTGCACGCCCTGCCTCCCAGAACCTGTCACGTGCAGCCCTCACTCATCACTCCACACCTGAGTCGGCTGTTAAGCATGGGCAGCTGAACATTGGTGTCCTGGGATGGCCCCATGGTTGTGAAATAAAAAGCTGTTGGTCCATTTTAAAAATAGAAGTTGTTGCTATTATTTTACAAGTATTTTCCAATCTTTTTAAAAATATCTATTTTTATTTCAGAGAGAAAGGGAGAGGGAGAGATTGAAACATCAGTGATGACAGAGAATTATCAATCAGCTGCCTTCTTCGGGCTCCCTACCGGAGATGGAGCCTGCGACCTAGGCATGTGCCCTTGACCGGAATCAAACCTGGGACCCTTCAGTCCACAGGCCGACGCTCTATCCACTGAGCCAAACCAGCGAGGGCTATTTTCCAGTCTTAATATCTGGGACTCTTGAGTGTAGATTTCCAGGCTCTCAGATCTTAAAATAGCTCACATGAGCCCAAAGAAATTTCCCATATTAAAGTTCCTTTCTTCAGAGAAAGTATCCAGTTTAAGGTCTGCATATTAAAAGATGTCAATGAAAATTTGAAAAAGAAGTTTTGATAGATTTAAGCATTAAATTATGGAGAATAGTTATCACAGGTTTTAAGTTATGGCAAGACTGAATTGTGTGAGAAGTTCATCTCACTGTAAAGTTCTCTGAATGGGACAATCAGGTGACTCGGTTGACCTCTGAAAGCTGGTCAGGACTTGGGAAACTGCCAGTCCTTCCTGGCTTTGAACTCACCTTGTAAGAACTGCTGACTCATAGGCACAGTCTTCACCGGTGGACCAGTGAGCCCAGGCCTGAGCTCAGGGATTTGTTTCCCAAGGCTCCGCCTTCATTTTCCCTCTCCCTTCCTTCCCTCCTCTGTCTTCCCACAGCACTTCTGGGGCCCAGTAGCCAACTGGGGTCTCCCCATCGCCGCCATCAATGACATGAAAAAGTCTCCGGAGATTATCAGTGGGCGGATGACGTTTGGTGAGTGTGTGCTCTGAACACCTGCGGCCTTTCCCCGCATCATTAGCATAAACAGCTCCCCAGTGCAGCTCTGGACAGGACAGTCACGTAGGAAATGGCATCCCCCTCACAGGAGGACAGGCAGGTGGCTCTGAAATGCTGCCTTGGGAGTGCTGGAGCCCGCTAGCCGGCGGGCTGACTGCTCCCAGCTGAAGGTGTCCTCTGGGGCGTAGTCGGAAAACGCTTTCTTACATTGACTTGAAACCCTGATATTTGACCATAAAGCTGTTGAGAGGATGACGAAGCAGTTCCTGCAGGTGAGGGACTAAACTACTCGAGGGGACAGGACCGTGGCTGGAACTCAGGTGCCCACTCCCTCCAACACCCCATCCTTACAATGTTCAGGTGATAAGTAACAGTACCCACCAGGAGAGTCCGATATCTGCTGAGCTTCCCACTCCTGGTGCCTTTCCGCCAGAATTTACCTCCCGTCACAGTCTTAGCGGAAGAGCTTCCCTGGTTGGTTCAGGCTGGTGCCGGTGGATCTGGGTTCCCTCCCACACCAGGTCTCTGAACCGTGAGTCATTGCTCCCCTCTGCTTGGTGTTTGCAGCCCTCTGCTGTTACTCTCTGACGTTCATGAGATTTGCCTACAAGGTGCAGCCTCGCAACTGGCTCCTGTTCGTGTGCCACGCCACCAACGAGGTGGCCCAGCTCATCCAGGGCGGGCGGCTCATCAAATACAAGTAAGCAGCGCCAGCTCGTCCTCTTTGCTGACGGAGGGGAGAGCGGGCCCGGTCCTGCCTTGGGCATTTGGGCCATGAGTGTGTGCAGATGGATGTGAAACCCGTTCTGAGAAAGCTGTGCTGCTGAGTGTGAAACCGTGCCTGGGCGGTTACCGCCACGCCGTGCAGATGCACTGACTACAGCGTGGACAGGGTGTGTCTCCATCACATCGGGAGTGGGAACGGCTGCTGTGTGAGGGCTTCTTAAAGCCTCCGGCCCTGCGGCGGCAGTGACGCTCCCTGTCCTTGTCTCCCTGCAGCATGAATAAGAAGGCAGCAGCGTGACCCGGCAGGGAGGCTCTGCCCGCTGCTGGGCCTCCGGCTCCATCATCAGGACGCCCTGCTGAGGAAGACCCGCTGAGTGCTGTTTTACTAACCCAACCATTTCCACCCACAGCGAGAGCCCCTGAGCCCCTGACCCGCCCCAGCTGCCTCCCAAGTACTGTCTACTCTCCTCCCCCTAACCAGCCGTCACACAGGCAGTCATTCCGTGATCCCAGCGATGCTTTCTCTGAGGCCGTGTTGTTATCTGTTAGAATTTGCTGAACGCGCAACGGAAGAGAACAAAGCCTGTGACTCTCAGACCTGAGTGCTCAGAGCTCTGGCCTTGTTCTGTAACGACCATGAGACAACCCCAGCTACACCCTTCAGGTCTCACCCCAGGGTCTGAAGAGTGTCCCTTTCCATGCGGTGTGTCTTCTGAAATGCTGTGACTTAACGGCAATAAATGACTTAAATATCTGTCAGTGAGAATGACGAAATGTTTTTAAGGAACTGCAGGACTGTGTCCCTGCAGCACAGGGATCGGCATCACGGGGACTCCCTCCCCAGTGCTGAGGGAGGTGCCGTCCGAGTGGTCAGACGGCTTTCTCGTGGGCCATGTTAGAAACGCCCCAGTGCTGCCCTGAAGATGCCCTGAGGTTCCCTGAGGGGGTCAGAGTTGGGCAGTGTCCCTGGGGGCCGCAGTCCCTGGCCGCACAGGAGCGGGGGCACCGTGCTAGGCACCAGGGAGAGGAGGGGCCTCTGGGGTGGGCGGGGCCCGGGGGCATGGTGGTGATCCTGCTGCCCCTGCCACAGGGTGAGCGCCGGGAGACAGCGTGGAGGGTGCGCGTGGCCCGCGGCTCCTCACCTCACCCGCACCCGCTGGCCTGCAAAGCGCTCCCCCAGAGCAGGCCCAGCGCCTTTTCTCTTTTCGATGGAAGTCTCTTGGCTGCTTTAAAATGACCATCTCCACTGTCTGTCACTAGCACAAGGGGACACCTGGGCGGCTGGCAGGGAAGTGCCGGCCGCTGGCACAGGAGACTGAACAGCGGACCTCGCTCCGTGGCCGGGCGGCGGGAGGTCCTGGTGGCTCCTCCTGGTCCGTCGTCGTCGGGGTTGCCGGGCTCCATCTCCTAGGCACTGGGAAGTGTCCCAGCGCCACACCTGTAAGTGTCCGGGCCCTGCAAGAGCTGCGCGCACCTGAGGCTCCCTGCTCCGAGGGCTGGAGGGTGGAGGACAGGGCGCCGTCCATCCCCCAGGTCCTGGGAACCGCAGTGTGGAAGCGAGGGTGGGGTCGACTGCTCACAGCCCAGAAGGCCAGGCTCAGAACTAAACTACCCAGAGAACCTCCTCTGCAGACGTGACCCAACGCTCGCCGTGCTCTCCCTTTCAAACAAGCAGGAGAGAGCTGGCCGGCACAGGAGCCGCCAGGCGGGTGGACACCGATGTCCGCGCGGAGGTGCCGTGCTGGCTCCCGCCCTGTAATGGGCTCAGGGACGAGGTGACGATTGCGAAGCACTTCCTGCCCCGCCAGGGCTGCCGAGTCCTGGCGCCGAGCAGCCCGCTGCCCGCGGTGCCTGGCCCGGCAGGAAGCTGGTCAAGGGCCTCTTGTTTCGCAATGCCCTTCGCACGGTTGGTCTAGGCCCTCCCGCCGCCCACGCAGGAACCGGCTCTGCTGCTCGCTCCCCAGGCTGCGTTCGGTCGCTCGTCTTCACCTTTTCACTAAGATTTCTCAGACTCTGTGCACCGAGCGGGGACAGACAGTAGCGAGAAGCAGCAGGCGCAGTTCCAGCTGCGGTCCTGGCACCCCACATGCCAGCAGGCGGCTTTCTCAGCATGTCCTGTTCAAGGTCTGGATTAAATCCTTTAATCAAAAGCAAAGCCGGTACCCAGGACTGAGGCTCGGCAGGTTGGTGGCCTCGGGGAGGGGAGGACGCCAGTTGCCATTGTAACTATTTTGAATTTCTTCTGGCTTTTTCTCTTGAGCATGATAATAGACTCATGACTTTTTATAGACTTAATGTGTTGCTTTAAATTCTCGCCCGAAGATATGTGTTACTGATTTTGGAGAGGGAGAGAGAAAGCAAGGAACATCGATGTGAGAGAGACATCGATAGGTTGTCTCTAGTATACGCCCTGCTCAGGGATCGAATCCACAACCCACGTATGTGCCCTGACCAGGAATCACACCCGCATCCTGTTGGTGGACAGGATGACACTCCAACCAAGTGAGCCACCCAGCCAGGGCAAGACAATGCGTTTTTGTCAGCTACCATGATTATTCTTTTGGCTCCCATGTCATTCCTTCAGCGGCTGGGCGGCAGGAGGTCCTGGGCCGCTCCTCCTGCTCTGTCTTCTGGGGTGTGCCAGGCCCAGTCTTCTAGAGACGTGGGTATCTGTGAGAGTTCCTCTTGTCCCCACATCAGCTGGAGGCCTCCTGCCCGCTGCCTGCCTGACCCCACCACGCAGCCGTTCCCTGGGGCTCTGGCCAGTCTGGGGAACGGTCCTTGTACCACCACGCGGGCTCGTGGTGCCAGAACGGCGTTGCTTCCTGCCCGTCCAGTGTCTGAAGCGCGCAAGTTCCTATAATAGTTCCAAGTGCACAGACGGTAACCGTAGACTCTGTTATGTAAGCACTTTCCGAGTGGACTGGCTGCCATTGTCAGGAAGTCCCGAGAAGAGGCGGCAGCCGGCAGTGCTCTTAGCACAGATCCCCGAGGTCCGCCTCCCGGGCAGTCGGGGCGACGGGGCCACCTGAGCAGCCCCGTCCGAGTTCGTCCTCGTCACTCTGAGCTGAGGACTTCTGGCCACTCACTCACCTCTGCTGTTCACTGTCTAATTTCTGGTACTGTTACCACCTACAGAGTTGAAATGTTCAGTCTTGTCCTGATGGGAAAGTTTTGTCTTGTGCCCCTTTTTAAGCTACAACTTTTCTCTTTAAATAAAAATGATATCCACATTTCCTCCTGCCATACTATGTATTTTCATACCAGGGCTAACATCTTCTAAATCCAGCTGCTTCTCGCAGGTCCCGTTCTCCTCACCGGAGGAGCAGTGTTTACTCTTCCTTGAGGGGGTGCGTTTTAAGGAGGTAGACGGGCGTCACAGTGCGCGGAGGCGGCCCACGTAAATGCGGGCTCTTCAGGGTTTTGTCTGAGTCCCTTCACTCAGAAGTTCCTGTTTGCAATCAAGGACTCGCGCCAGCCTCGGACAAGGGACGGACTTGGTCTCGTGCCCACAACTCCCGATGAGAAGGCAGCGGCGGCACGCGCACTGGCAGTGTTTTTACCAATATCACAGAACCGTGTCTTCTAGGGGAGGCCCCGGCTGGTGCCTCGGTACCTCGGTGCCTGCGCTCTGCAAGCTGTCAGAGGAAATGTACTGGAGAGGTGTAAGCCGATCCTCCTTGGAGCTGCAGGGCCCTGTGGCACGTGGGCGTGGGCGACACAGCCCCTGCTGGCAGGACCGGGCTGCATTCCACTGCAGGCGGCTGGACTACAGGCAAGGGGAGGAGGTAGAGCAAGAACCGCTGCCACGCAGGGAGGGAAGGCCCCTGTCAGTTTCCGCAAACATGGCATATTTTGAGTTTGCAATAAAATCCACACCCTGATGAAATCGATGCCATCACGTCTTCAGGGGTAGCGGCCCTTCCAGTGCGAGCTGGGGTCTCCCAGGGACAGTCCCCGGGCTGCAGGAAGAGACTGCACCCTGGGCCTCCAGGAGCAGGTAGGCCCCAGGGCGAACAGGAGCCCGCACCCCCTGCCCCTCCTCCCGCAGGCGGAGGCTCCTCACTGGCCCGTCCCCAGGTTGGAAATGATTTTGTGGTAAAACTGCGCCACCTTGTGGCCTCACTGGATTCAAAAGCTGAAATGAGGAATGTTGCCGTCAGTCCGCGTTGACCTAGTACCTGTAAGGACTAGACACACTCTTCCCTCCTGCGGGGTGCTCAGTGGCTGAGCATTGACCTACAAACCAGGGCACACGCTGGGGTTGCAGGCTCCACCCCCAGTGTGGGGCGTGCAGGCGGCAGCCGGTCAGTGATTCTCTGTCATTGATGCTTCTCTCTCTTCCTTCCTCTCTGAAATCAATACAAACATATTTAAATAAAAATACTCTTCAAAACAGTCTCCTTGGTAGAACACCCCGTCTCTCCTGCCACACACATGAGAAGCTAAGACAAAAGCTCACGGCTCTCCCAGATTCTTGTCGGGGCAGGGCAGACTGAGAAAAGTGCCTTAGACTATAAAACCGTGGTTTTTTTAGTTGTTTTTTTTTATCTAATCAACCCCTCTACAGACATGATTAACAAATGACCCCGATGCAAAAAACAAACAAACAAAAAACACAAAAACAAACCCACACCTACTCTGAACCGACTTGTGCCTCCACAAATATTTCTGAGTGGGAAACGCAGCTGAGCAGACTTCACGTCAGGACGACTGCCTGCGATGGTCCTCCCCCCCCCCCCCCAGGCCGGTCCAAGTCTCTGGTCACAGGGTTTGCTCATCTGGGTGTCACTGGCTCAGCCCCTCGCCAGCTGTAAGCCTGCAAGGACCTCACCGAGTGTCCCTGGGCCCTTGTTTGTTTGTTGGTTGGTTTTTGGTTTTTAAGGTAATTTCCGTGAGCTTCTGGGGTTACAGCCCTTGGCTCATTCACTCACGGGGATGTGTCCGGAGCACCTACTGCATCATGTGGTGCCAGCCCAGGGGTGGGCAAACTTTTTGACTCAAGGGCCACAATGGGTTCTTAAACTGGACCGGAGGCCGGAACAAAAGCATGGATGGAGTGTTTGTGTGAACTAATATAAATTCAAAGTAAACATCATTACATAAAAGGGTACGGTCTTTTTTTTTTAGTTTTATTCATTTCAAATGGGCTGGATCCGGCCCGCAGGCCGTAGTTTGCCCACGGCTGTGCTAGACTCTGGGAACCCAGGAAGAGAGGAAAAGCAGTGAAGACGCGGGACCTGAATTCATGCGGCCTGTCCTGAGGGACACCCCTCTTTGCTGGGAGAAGAGGACGGTGTCGAGACAGGAAGACCACCTCCCCCCGTTACCAAACAACAGTCACAAGTCCACGCTGAAACCAGCAAATCTACGTGAAGGGCCGAAGGACTCGCAGGGCACGCAGCTGAGATCCTTGTAGCGTTCCGGGAAATGGCCCACCAGGGAGGAGAATTTCCTTTCCTGTGTCCCCAGCCAGTCCCATCACAGGGCGGGGCGGCCTGCTCTCGGCATCTGTGTGCCCACCCTGCCAGCCTGGGCAGCTGCCACACGGACTCCCTCAGCAGTAACCAAGTCGACACCAAGACTTTTCTCCTACAACGAACCCTGGTGGCCATGGGAGGGGTCTGTCTCAGCTTCCTGGCTGTGCTTTGCTGCTGCTCACTCACTCATGCTGGGAGCACCTGCTGAGTGTCTATCACGCCAGGCCCTGTGCCTGGGGTTGGGCCTGGACGCGGTCAGCAGTTGAGCGGGATGACGGACTGGCCAGTTGGCTGAGCAGCTGGTGGGTCCGCTCGGGATGGACAGCAGGTGGCAGGGCCCAGGGCAGTGGCAGGGCCCAGGGCAGTGGCGGCCATGTCTCGGGAGGTCCGGAAGGCCAGGGGAGACACCAGGTCCAGGGGAGCTGGCCGAGAACGGGAGCTGGCAGGAGCTGGGTGGGCCACTGCGGTGCGGGAGGATTTCAGCCCTGAGACCCGAGCTTCCGGGGGCCTGTTGGTGGGATCCTGGATTCCAGCCTCTCAGCGGGTGGTCTGGCCAAACGTGCGAGTCTCTGCATGTACACACGTGTGCAGACACGTATTGCTCAGTGGCTAGAGCGTCGTGACACACGAGGCTGGAGGGAAGAGCGGGGCTGGTCGTGACCAGCTGTGCCTTTATTCGGAGGAAATGAGGGACTCGCGGCAGGTTTTCAGCAGAGGAGATGACAGTTAGTGGCCGGCTGCCCGGTGGAGATGGCCACGAGCGGGGCCAGGCCCGAAGGGTCAGCAGAGGCGGAGCTGACTTTGGCCGCAGCCACGTGGCTGTGTCCCTGAGGACGGGGCTGCGGGTGATCGCCGCGGTTTGCTGGTTTGGATGGAAGTGTGGGGACGCTGCTCCCTCTGTCCTAATGGGACACCCTCCCCTGGCCTCTGGTGGTCAGAGCCGGTCACCGTGTCTAGGGGTGACGGGCACAGAAACACTGAAATGCCGTAAACTGTCCTATGGAAAATGAGAAGCATAGTTGGAGCCAGGCTGTGTTTTCCTAAAGGTTTGTCTCCTCCTTTTCACTCAGTCATTATCCCCCAGTTCTCCTTCCGCCCCCACCTTGACAACCAGTCCTGCCCACGGTGCAGCTTCCGGGCTCCTCGGTACGTAGCGTCAGGTAACTATGGCGACAGACCTGCCAATAGGCAACGGACTCGCTCATTCACAGAGCATTTGGGTCCTCAGTCCTAAGGAAGAAAAGCTGTTGTGCTACTTTCTGTAGCAGGATTTGCTGTCGAGTCCAGAGAAGTGGTGGAGACAAGCTGACGGGCCAGTAAACGGCCAGTGATGAAACATGCACATCGCACCCGCCCCGCCCGCCTGGGTTCTGCGCCCCAGGCACTTCCAACCCCTCGGGCTCGCTTCGCGTCACTGTCCTCACCGCAACCGGCCGTAACCGGTGTCCTGCGGTCAACGACACCGCACTCACGGCACGTTGCTGACGCGTCAGCATTGACCTCGGGCCTGAGAGCAGCCCCTTTAACACGCGTTTTCTCCGCGGAGCGCGTCGCAGCTGCCCGCCGGCGGAGCCTGGGCCGTTTGACCGGTGAAGCCACAACAGGGACGCGCACAACCGCGGGCCCGCGGGCTGAGCAGACCACGGACGGGCCCCTCCACGCACGGATTAGTTCAATGGAAGCGCGGAATACGGCTCTGCCGCAGAGCGCGCGCCGCCTAGAGCTGAGAGCGCAGGCCGGCGGGCCCCGTGCGCATGCGTGCGCGGCGACGGCGGCCGCTCGGGACGCGCCGGAAGCGGGGGGCCCGGATTTCCGGTCGGCCCGGGGGCTTTCGGTTCCGGGTTCTCGGCGGCCGGGCAACGAGTGTCGGCCGCTGGGCCCGGAGCGCGGCCATGGAGAAGCTGCGGCGGGTCCTGAGCGGCCAGGACGACGAGGAGCAGGGCCTGACCGCGCAGGTGGGTGCTGGGCCGGGCCCGGGGGGCGGGAAACGGGGCCTGCGCTGCCCGCACCTGGGTTGCGGGAGGGCTCCGCCTGCGCCCGGAGGGTTTGGGGCGCCCAGGCTCTCGTGGGGTGCGCAGCTCGCTGGGACCCGCCCCCACGCCTCGTTGGGCTTTCCGATTCCGAGGGGCCCGTTTGCTGCCGGTCTGCCCCGCGCTGCCCTCACCGGCTCCGCCCGGGTTCCTGCGGGGCGCGGGGTGCCGAGCGGCGGCGGGGGCGCGGGGGGCCGAGCGGCGGAGGGGGTACAGGCCCCGCCCGCGAGCTGCCGTGCCCGGACCCTAACGCCGCCCGCCTGGCCTCCGTGCGCCCCGGGGGTCGGGGGCTGCGAGGAGCGCCGTCTGCAGGAAGGGGGGGAGGGAGGCGGCCGAGCGGGCGGGGCCTGATCGGAGCTTTAAAGCCCTCGCGTCCACCTCCCCCCGGGACCCGATGCGGCTACTTCCCTGTCGGGAGGGTTAACCCAGGAGCGAAACCGCCTGCTCAGGGCTCCAGTGAGCCGCGTGCTGGCCGGTTCCTGTTTGCCCGTCACAGCCGGGGCTTGGGCGTCCGGCAGGGGGGTTGCGGGAGGGCGTGCTGTCTGTCCCGTCCCGGTCCTGCCCCCTCCGGGTCCTGCCCCCTCTCGGTCCTGCCACCTCCCGGTCCTGCCCCCTCCGGGTCCTGCCCCCTCCCGGTCCTGCCCCCTCCCGGTCCTGCCCCCTCCCGGTCCTGCCCGCTCGCTCGGCACGTCCGGTGGGCGGGGCCGGGCCAGGGGCAGGGTCAGACCCTGAGAGACCCGCACCCGCTCTCGGGCACCAAACCAGCCTGCAAGGCAGTGGTAATGCAAGACCCACAAGTCACAGCAGAAATGCATGTCGCCAGTCGTTTAGGGACAGTTGCTTTGTGCCCCTCCCTCTGCGCCCGCTTCCTCAGGGCCCTGCGCACTCACCCCCAGGGAGGCCTCTGTGAGCGTCCCCCTCCCTCCTGCTCTCCCCTTCACTCATCTGCTGAGTTTGCCTTCACAGCCCTCCTGCCCCTGGTGGTCGTTGTGCGGCATTTGCTGGGTGAGGACAGCGACCTTACTGGGTTCTCAGGGCCAGGAGCTCCGCGGAGCTGGGAGAGAAGCCAGTTAAAGCAACAAGCCAACAGTGGAAGGGCTAAGAGCCTGCTGCCTGCCCTGCCCCCTCGGTGCCACTCCCCAGGCGATGGCACTTGTCACATCCAGGGAGGTCAGGGAAGACGGGGCCATCTCACTGTGGAGGGAGGGAGCCCTGGACAAGACAGAGTGGGCAGTTTTATGAACCCTGAGTCAGGGGAGGAGGGTGAGCGGTCAGAGAGGAGAAAAGCATCTTCAGGGTCCCCTCGCCTCCGTGAGAGGCCTCGATGGCTCAGTGGGTGAGGAGCTTCCTCTGCCCAGGGCCTCAGGTGAAGAGACCCAGGCGTGAGGGTGAGGGGCTGACATACGGAAGGGGCATGAGGGCCAGGGCCCCCTCCGCCACTGCAGCTCCTTGCAGACACTTTGTTGCAGGGGTTCTGTGCCAGCAGACTCCTCCCCCAGCACTCAGAGCAGGCACCTGGGAGCACTCAGTAGGAGAAGCATGGGTGGGTGGGTGGGTAGATGGGTGGGTGGGTAGATGGGTGGATGGATGGATGGAAGGGTAGATGGGTGGATGGGTGGGTGGGTGGGTGGGTGGGTAGATGGGTGGATGGATGGATGATGGGTGGATGGATGAGTGGGTGGGTGGATAGATGTGTGGATGGGTGGATAGATGTGTGGATGGGTGGGTGGGTGGATGAATGAGCTAGTCAGCAGAGGCTGGAGGGTGAAGTCAAAGGGAAGTTTTCCTTAAGATGGAAAGCGCTTCAGCAGGTCTAAGGGTTGGTGGGGATGGTCTCGGAGAGCACGGGGCTCACTATTGGGGAGAGGGGAGAAGCCAGTGAGTTCCCTGAGAGCTTGAGGGGTTGGACCTGAGGCAGGGAGCCCTGTGCAGTGATGGGGGCAGGCAGGGCAGGGGAGAGGTGTCTGGAGCGGGGCTTGCTGGTTGGTAGCAGCTAGCAGGGGGGCGTTCCCACCCATGGCCTCCGTTTCCAAGGCTCAGGGTGGCTGTTAGTGTCTGAGCCTTGAGTGAGGGGTGGGACCCGGGGAGAGGGCCTGTTTGCTGTGCTCGCTCTCCTTCCGCCCTCTAAGCACGGTTGTTTTGAAAGGGGAATTGTAGGAACACTGCACCGCGTATTCATCAGCTGAGGCCACCCGTGCTTCCTTTATTCAAGTGGCCGGGAGCAAGGCGCTGGCCTGCACAGCTGTGCCCTGTGGGAGCGCCAGTCTCCCTGCTTCTCCGCGCAGGAAAGCAGCCGCGACTTCTGGGCTGAGGTTCACTCATCTCTGAGCCGCTGCTGCGCTGTTTTCACTGGTGTGTGATGGCCACGTGCTGGTACGGCAGCGCCCTGTGCTCTGCAGCCGGAAGGGCTCCTGCTCCCCCAAGGGCCCTGTGACCAGCAGCATGTGGGGGGAGAGGGAGGGCAGGGCCCCAACTGCATGTGCAGCCATATGCTGGGGAGGGAAGGTCGCTGGGATCCTTGTTTCCCGGTTTTGCCTGTTGCTAGGCACGATGCGGGGATTCCCCCGGTGACCTCTGGGCCTATCCTTCCGCTGCTCCTGTGGGTCTAACTGCCTGCTCCCCGCATCGCAGGCAGACGGAGAAGGGAGCACGGAGAAGGGAGCACGTACACCGATGGGCACAGCTGAGCCTGTGAGAGGAGTGAGGGCTGTGGCAGGCCCGCCCTGACCTCACAACAGCGGATGGTCTAGACTTGGAAGGAAATAAAAATGACGCCTTTTCTCCTCTTGTTCCGCCTTCTCACATCATTGTGGACTCACTGACGTTTACAAGTCATTCTTCTTAGGATCCTCCCATGTTTGTAGGAACAAGTGGGGCGTTCCCCATGCCAGGTGCAGCCTTCAGGGTTTTAGTGCATTTAGTCCCCGTGTGGTTAAAATATACTTGATGGTATTCTTCTGGATCAGAAAGAATGAAGTTCAGATGGTTTATAGGCAAGTTCATTCTTTGTTTAAAATCTAGGGACCAGTTTTGCTATAAACAGATGACATTGCTGGAAACAAGAATGTCTGAATTAAACAAACATTTAAAAAAAGATTTAGAGTGGGTTAAAAAGTGCCCTACCTGGTTTGGCTCCATGGATAGAGCATCGGCCTGTGGACCAAAGGGTCTCGGGTTCGATTCCGGTCAAAGGCACGTACCTTGGTTACAGGCTCCTCCCTGGCCTGGGCCCTGGTCAGGGCTCGTGCAGGAGGCAACCAATCAATGTGTTTCTCTCACATCGATACTTCTCTATGTCTCTCCCTCTCTCTCTCACTCTCCCTAAAAATCAATGGAAACATATCCTCGGGTGAGAATTAACAACAAAATAAAGTGGGTGAAAAGTGATGGGTGTTACTTTGACGGAATCCTTATTCAGTTATTTTTATCTACTTTGCATGCTACGTAAGGACTCACAGATTAATGGACTCAGGTAAGGACGTAGCCAAAGGTATTTTGAGCTTTTGCATGTAACACTTTCTGTTTTCACTTCATTATTCTTGAACTACATTATAAGCAGCCTTGTTTTTAAGGATACACTGTAATGTAAGTTAGAAAGTTAACTTTTGGTGTGCAAACGCTTGTGTGTGTGTCTGGTTTCTTGGAGCTGTTGTTCTGTCCCCGCTTCTCGGGAAGCTGAGTCTCACTAGTGCCCGTGGTAACCGAGGTGCCCGCTCGCCCTCACCGCATGCCGCCCGCGCTGCTGTGCCAAGCGCCCAGGCCTCTGCTCTCCCCGCAGTGGTTAGCGCTGCACGGCGAGCAGGAATGTGGTTGCTCTAGAGCAGCGGTTGCCAACCGTTCGGACCTCACGGACCACCAGCTGGCGACGCTGCTCTAGAATAAATTACTGCTCACAAATGGTTTTACTGCTGGTTGGGGAGCCCCCCCCGCCCCGGCTCTCCTGAGCTGCTGCAGTGAACTCTTTGCAGTGGAGGTTGTCAGTCAGGTGTGTCTAATGGCAGACACGGCTGAGGCTGCCCAGGTCCCCATTGCCAGGCGGGTGTGCCCCAGCCTCCGGGCGGTGAGCCGCTGGCGGGAGCTGGTTCCGGAAGGCCGCCCTCTCCAGCCCCTCACTGCCCGCAGGGCACCTTGTCTCAGAGACCTAGACGGACGCCGGGAGGCCATGTGAGCCCAGATGCCCACGACCCAGCCTCGACATTTGTCAGCTGTGCCGTCTCCTTGCTCCTGTCCTCTGCTCTTCCAGTCGCCCAGTGTTTTGTCACGGACCTTATGCCTTACGTCCTTCTGTCCCTATCAGAGGGCTGTACTGTCTCTGACAGGAGCGCATCCTGTTAGCGCACCTGCCCAGATGCCAGTGGTTCCTCAGGGCCACGCGGTCCCAGACCACCCTCATGCTTCCCTAACCATGGGATCCTGACGTTAGACGACACTGCAGTGTGCACAGTGACGCAGACACCACGCTGGGCTGCAGGGAACCTGGCCCTGGATTCCGTGGGAAGGACCGGGTGGTGTGTGGTGGCCCCGGCGCACGCTCTGATCCCCTCCTCCCTCCCAGGTCCTGGACGCCTCCTCGCTGAGCTTCAGCACCAGGGTGAAGTGGTTCGCCATCTGCTTCGTGAGCGGCATCTTCTTCTCCATCCTCGTGAGTGCGGCGTGGGGTTGTGTGGTCATGTCTGCGTGGGGCCGGGGAGCGCAGCGAGCAGCCTGCTTTGCCTGGATGCTCTGAGACTGTGATGGGACCTAGCTAGTCGCTTGAAGAAAGGCAGAGATCAGTGCAGAGATGTAGAGGTTAATACTGGGGGGCTGTGGATTATTATTTCCTTAAAGTAAAATAAAATCGAAAGAGCTGCAGAGTCCGTAATTTAGATGTTAGTTAGCTTTTCTAACTCACCATTTAAAAGGCGTTGAAGTAGACTGAGATTTACCCACATGTATGTATAAAGGAAGTTGTGCGATGGCTCAGGTATCTGTACTTGTGATAGACCCAAGATTCAAATTAGCAGGTAACCTTGAAACTAACTTTTAAAAATGACGTGGGGACTGTATCGAGCGCATTTATACTTAAACTCATACTGCCACATGTTATGTCACTACTCTGGTAGCACGTTTCACATGATGCCGTTACCGTGGGAACTGAAGTAACTCTCCGTCTTCACGCAGGGCACTGGCCTGCTGTGGCTTCCCGGGGGCATCAAGCTTTTCGCCGTGTTCTACACCTTCGGGAATATTGCTGCCTTAGCCAGGTACGTGCGGGCGTTCGGCCTCTCGGACGCTTTATCTGCCATCGTTTCCTCCTAATAAACACCTTCCTAACAGGACGTATTTCTGTGGCTCTGACACCCGTAAATTCAGCCACAAAGTCTGTGTTCGTGTGCTGAGTGTGTACTGACTCCTGCTGCGTGCGGTGTGCCAGCTGCCATGAGAGTGTTCCTGGGAGGAAGAGCCAGCCCTGGGGCACCCCTGTGTGTCAGGGACTCTTCTGCCCGTTTAGGAGGTGGCACTGTTACGGCCCCACGTTCCAGCTGGGGATGTGCCTAGTGAGTGATGGGCAGGCTCCCCCAAACAGGGCTTCGGAGCCCAGTGCCTGCTCTCATGAAGCCTGCGTCCCAGTGAGGGAGCCGGGCCGTGCAGAAAGTCGGGGCAGGGGTGCGGAGGCGGGGGAAGAGGGGGGGCGTGCAGGAAGTCGGGGCAGGGGTGTGGAAGCCGGGGAGGGGGGCTGGCCTTGGGACTCCTCTTGCAGCATCTTGGGCGCATGGGGGTGTATTGGTGTCTGCTAGGGCAGCTGTCAGATTTATGAGCCCGTGGTTGTGCACTTTGCTTTCCGAGGGGACCGTCTTTCTCAGGAACGTTCTGGATCAGAGGTATTGTCTGAGCTCAGCCAGCCTCCCGGGCTCGCACCTGCCGCCCGCCCCACCTGGTCTGGGTGAAGCTGGCGTGGCACGTCTCGGCGTGGCTGCCGGCTTGGCCCTGCCGCCCTCGTCTTGTTTCTCATTGGTCTGATAAGGACCAGCATGGACAGGGAGTGGTGGCGATGGCGTCAGCTCAGGCCACTGGGGCTCCTGGTTCTCTGAAGGGGCACTTGTGTCTCCTGGAGGCTCGGGTCTCCTCGGTGTGAAGGAAGACGAGCCGGACTTAGAGATGGTTACGCGTGGCCGTCAGGACCGCCCGGCGCCCTCAGCCCGTTTGTCGCCCACAGCACGTGCTTTCTGATGGGGCCCTTCAAGCAGCTGAAGAAGATGTTCGAGACCACGAGGCTGCTCGCCACGGTCGTCATGCTGGTGAGTGAAGGCGGAGGCGCAAGCTCCCGCTGAGGGCTGGCTGCTTTGTTGCCCACCAGTGGCCTGTCTTTCTGCCAGCCGTCGTCAGTTTCTCTCGTTGCACGTGGTAGTGGCGTCCTCGGGCTGAGGCAGTGGGCGACACGGTGTCACCCACGGCATCGGCCTCACGTGAAGGGAGTCAGAGCTGCTGCGTGTCGTGGTCCAGCCACGAGCGGTTCTTGGTGGGCTGCTGTGGGCGCTCTTGGAGGGGGGCTGGCAGTGGTTCAGTGGCCTGTCCCTGGCGCTGTCCCTCCGTTGGCTGGCTGTCACTCCCAGCAGCAGGCGTCACTGGCCGTGGGCTCTGTCCCCGGCCATCGGTCCCACTGAATTCAGGGCTCTCTTGTCTTTGGATGTTTGTGTCAGAAACGTGTAGTTTTCATCGTCATGCATCTGGGGGTGTTCACGGTCGTCGCTTTGGGTGTGATGGGCAGAGGGAACCCGCGCCCTCTCTGCCCAGCCTCTGCCCCACATGTTCTCCCCTTAAAGCTCCTGAATTGAAATGTTAGCACAGCTACTTTGTCCTTTTAACTCGCTTTTTAAGCACAGTCTTTGTAGATTTGTAAGTTAGGGAATGTTTTCAGGGTAACTGTGTCTTCTCCCTCCTCCTGACTAGAGAAAAACTTTGTAGCCTAGTTTTTTATTTGTGTCCTTACTCACAGGCACCATCCCCATTGCATTGTATCGCATTGACCTCCAAGAGGTCAGCTGCGTCATTTTGACTTTCCTGTAGCAGCAGGTGCGCTGACGGTGACCTCTGTCCAGGAGACTGAGACGTTGCCAATACGGTCACACGGCTGATTCTGCCCGGGGCACCCGAGACCCGAGTGGCAGTGTCTGCATGGGACGCAGGGTCGAGGGCTGTTCAGAGGTTAGAGACACAGTCCCTTTCCCCAGGGACTGAGTTACTCCTCGCATCTAATTGGTGATGACTCGTCAAAGCATTCCCAGTCGGACGCTTTGCACGGCCTCGTGTGCTGCTGACAGGATTGTGCCTGACGAAGGGAAAGAAATGCTGACACTTAGCACCTTCTAAGTGCCCCCCACCCCCCGCATGTGAGGGACACACTCTGATCTGTTCACTACAGATGAGCAGGTGGGTGGCTGCTGTCCTTTCAGAGAGAAGGTGGCCGAGGTCTAGACCCGATAACTAAGGACACTCGGCTAGTGGCGTCCGAGCTGGGCTCTCGCCTGGGTCTCCATCTCCAGACCCCCTGCCTGTCACTGAGCTGCCACCTGCCCCTCCTTGGGCTCCCTGCCTCCTGGGCACGGAAGGGAGTGATGGGCCGTCTCTGTGGGAAAGGCCTCCCGGGCTCCCGTGCGCTCAGCTGTGCCGACACCTGGCGGTGCTGGTCTGAGCACCAGCATAACCAGGTGCCCTGAGAACAGCTCCGTCACAACATTCTGCAGACGCTCCCTGTGGACGCCCTCAGCAGAGGCTCTTCCGGGTGCTTCCGTGTGCAGGGAGCATCGCGGTCATCGCCTCTGGGGTCAGTAGCACCGCAGACTGTGCAGAGCGGGCCCCGGGCTCCGCCGTGCTCTGTGGTGGCATCCACGCCACCGAAGGCGGCGATGTGCTTCTCGTCCAGCTCTGCGAGGACGCATACTCACCGCGCTCTCTCCTCCCCCAGCTGTGCTTCGTGCTGACCCTGTGTGCTGCTCTGTGGGTGAGTACCTGGGCCACGCCTGCTTCCCACTAACTGTCCCCTCAAAGGAGCTCCCAGTCCGCCCCTCAGACCCACCAAAGATCGGTGTCCCCCACGTGGATGGTGACGTCCGGTTGGTGACAGACCTGCCGTGGATTCTGCGGCGGAAACGGGCAGAGCTGACGGGTCCTCCTGTGCTCAGGCTGCTGCCCCGTCGCCCGGGAGAGTTACTGGCCACATCCCAGTCACGGGCGCAAGGAGCGGCCTAGCAAGCTCTGTGTGTCCCTGTGGAAACGGCTTTCTGGTTCTGGGACGGGCTGGGAGCCTGCTGCCTTATAAGCAGCAGATTAAATGAAAGCAAATGAATGACCATAAAAGTGGACAAGGAATTCTAAAAGTGGGTCATTTAAAAAATCATGGAAACTGTTTATTATGCATTGTTCCAGAAGATCACAATAAAATGCAGTTTTCCTTCAAAAAGTAATTCAAGAAAAGGGCACGTGAGACTGAGTGAGATCTGTAAGTTCTACAGAGGATGCAGCTCTACTGACCGAGGGGAAACGTTCACGTGCCCCCAGGACCTAACCGTGCAGAGGCGTGCGTGCAGCCCGTGTGTGCTGTGCGGCGCGTTGGCTCAATGCCAGGCGTGTAGAGTGTTGAAATCGGTGGATACAGGTAGTTAAGTTTCACATCTGCTGCATCGTGACCTTGTCGTACTGAAATCTGATAGGGTAGAGCCGTCATCTTACATTTCTGAAGGGCGTTAAAGGGCGTAAAGCAGCGGTTCTCAGCCTCCGGCCCTTTAATGCAGCTCCTCACGCTGTGACCCAGCCATAACATTATTTCGTGGCTACTTCATCACTGTCATGTGGCTACTGTTGTGAATCGTCATGTAAATATCTGATCTGCAGGATGGTCTTAGGCGACCCCTGTGAAAGGGTTGTTTGACCGCCACAGGGGTCACAACCCACAGGTTGAGAACCGCTGGCGTAAAGAGTATGTTGAAAAGATTCTTCACTCACTCTTTCTGTTTTTCCTGTGCTAGTGGCATAAGAAGGGGCTGGCCGTGCTCTTCTGCATATTGCAGTTCCTGTCCATGACCTGGTAAGTCTCACCTGATCGGAGGTCCGCGCGCCCTCAGCCGGGAGAGCATCTGCTCTGAGCCTGGCCGCCCGGGGAGGCTGTGGGCTCTCACCCGGGGTGGAAGCGTGTGCCTCGGTGGGGCCAGGCCTCCAGAGCGGTCCTCTGACTGAGTCTGCAGGGTGTCCCCTGGGACTTCGCCCGGCTCCGTGGTGACTGCAGGCGGGCAGGGAGGCGTGGGTGGGGGCGGGGGCGGAGGGTCCTGCATAGCCACACCAGGGTGCCGGCACTTGTCTTCTGAGATGTGAAGGAGAAGTGACAAGACATGCAGGTGACGCCGCAGGAACCCACGAAGCGAGGCCGTGTCAGGCCTGAGCCCGAGCGTGTGGGTCTGCCTCTTGCTGGGCAGGCGCCGTGCTGCTGGCTCCTGCTGATGCCGACTCCGTGGGGACCGCAGTGGGAGCAGCTGTGGTCCTGCTCCTCTGTGTGCCAGGCACGCCCTTCCTCCCCATCCTCCGTGGCCCCCTGCGCCTTCGTGGTCTGGGCTGCATCCCGTCCAGCAGCGGCCAAAGGCCCTGGAGTGAGGGCTGAAGTGCTCTCCCCCCACCAGGAGGGTTCCACCCGCTGTCTTTAGCGGAGCTCTGTTTTTTCCTTCCGTGGTCAGCAAGCCCCTCCCTGTGTGCTGTGTTCCGTCTCCTGTTTGCTGTTACCCGGCCTGGGGTCATCTTTCTTTGGCCCCGTTTCTTCCTTTCCACCCTTAAGTGCACCGTCAGCGAACGTTACACGCACGGCCCTACGTGGCAAAGGGCCGTGAAGAGCTTTTGCTCTCAGTGAAATGGGGAGAACTTTTACACCGAATCCGCCGTCATTTTCTGTGTTCTGCTCTTGTTTCATCAGCTGTATTTAACGATTGGTTTATTTCTAAGGGAGAATGTGCTTTATTCTCAGTCGTTTCTATTTAAAATATAACTTTAAAGGGTAACATCGTATCACAACAGCTCAGACCAGCAGGCCTGAGTCGCTTAGCGAGTTTGTGCGGTGGCCCAGCCCTGCGCACGTTCACCAGGTCCGGGTGGTGCTGTGGCTGCTGGTCCGGGTGGTGCTGTGGCTGCTGGTCCGGGTGACGGGGGGGGCGGCGGGGGATCGTGCCCTGGGTGCCGCTGTACTGCCCGGTGCGGGGATATGGCATCGCTGAGACTGAGGTCACCAGCTGCCCTTTCTCTTGCAGGTACAGCCTGTCATACATCCCGTATGCAAGGTGAGCTTGTTTGAGTCCCTCCCCTGTCTGGTCCTCCGGTTAGCGTTGCAGAAATACATCAGTTTTAGTGATTTTTACATTAAATTGTGACTTAAAAGGCTGACTTTCCTCCCACAAGGAAACGATGTTCTAAGTGGGATGAATAGAGAGAAGTTTGTCGAGGGGGCGCCACTGTGAACGTGTCAGCGGGGAGGCTGGGGACCGACTCCTGCTCCGTCGGGCGCCTGGGCCTTTGCTGCCAGGAACTTGGACGAGAGCTTCTGGATCCTTCCACGACTGCGGATATTCACTAGATAGGCCGTGGGGACTCCAGCAAAACAGATTCTTCTCTTTAAAGGGAAGTTGGTGAAAAAGTGAGTGTGACACGTGACTGCTGCCTGAGCAGTAGCATGTGTCTGTCCTGTGGGCGGAGGTAGCCGCCCCTGGACGTGCCCAGAAAGTGCACCTGCTGTCGTGGGGGGAACGCACTGCGGAGCCGTCGGACGGTCAGGAAAGCGCTGTGGAGGCACAGCTTTGCCTCCTGGCAAACTTGGAAGCAGGTTGTAGTTGAAAAACAGCCAAGTTAGCCTAGTGAGCAGCGGAGGAAGCGGGTGGGAGCGGTCCCTGCTGGAGGCAGATTCTGACGCCGTTTCTCCCCCAGGGACGCCGTCATGAAATGCTGTTCTTCCCTCCTGAGTTGAAGACCAGAACCTCTTCGCAGGGCGTCTGGGAGCTGCTGTTGGTTTGGGGGAGTGTGTTTTCCTGAGCCGGTGGTCGCCCCTCCCCCCGTGGCCGTGCAGGGCCGTGCGCACCGGGGAACCGCGTGGAGTAAACTGTGATGCTCCCACCACCGCTCCCGCCACTCACTGCTCTCCCCACGGAGGGAGGCGGCACCGCCGATTGCGATTGATCTGTAGCGTTTCTAATCCCTCCTCCACAGCGTCTGGTTTGTGATTGATCTGTAGCCGATTGTGATTGATCTGTAGCGTCTCAGTCCCTCCTCCACAGCGTCTGGTTGTGAATATCCAGATAAGTCTCCGCTGCGTGAACTTCGTTGGCTTTTCTAAAATGTCAAGGTTTAAAAATACTTCAAATGTGAAAGTTTTTACTTTAAACTAAGAATCGCTTATATGTAATAAAAATAATATATAAATCTTTACAATTTTAAATAAGCCCATTGTTGGATCAAATTTACAGCCTTTAAGTGGGCGGAGCCTTGATTCCGTTGAGGGAAACTCCCTGAGGTTTCTCCCAAGACGTCTCTGTCCTAACCGCTGCCGAGCGCATTTACGAGTGTGGCCTTCGGGGTCCCCTGATCCCAGCAGGCAGGGGGTCCAGGAGGGTCCAGGTGTGCGGGTGGGGAGAGCCGACAGCAGGTCGGACAGGTGAGGGACCAGCCACTGGCAACCCAGGAGCCTGCTGGGGGGGAGGGGGGAGGACCAGCGCCTTGGTGGGGAAGCAGGTAGCGGCTTGGGATTGTCACCAAGGGAGACCCTGGAAGGGACCAGGCAGGTCCCCGCCACCTGGAGAACTGCAGGGCTGCCCCACCTGCCCGGAGCTGGGACCAGGGACGGGAGACGCCCTGCTGACCCTGTAGCTTTCACCCTGGGTCCATGCGCAAGCCTCCGGGCCGGGGGGGGGGGGGGGGGGCCCTCAGGCTGTGCCCCCAGGAAATGGTGCTTGACCCCTTCCCGCCTCATCTCCAGTCCCCCTCTCCTGACAAAGCTCCCCACTGCTTATGCACCCGGAGCAAATGCAGCGCTTCCAGAGCCTGGAGAGGCCTAGGGTGGCCTGGGCTGTCCCACACTCACCTGAGCAGCAGCTGCTGTCCTGAGGCACCCGCCCCCCCCCCCCCCCCCCCCCCCACCCCGACAGGGAGAGGGTGGGACGGGGAGAATGAGTGACAGCTGCAAGCTGCATTTGCAATGGGAGAATGTGTGAGTGTGGGATGGTTTGGGGGTGCTGGTGATCAGGGTACTAAACCTTCCTCTCTCCCAGCCCCTCCCCGCTGTGGTGCGAGGTTCTTGCCTGTGTCCTGGCCCAGTAGCCATCTCGCTCGAACACACGGGGTCGGGGTGCAGTGGGCAGCCGGGGACTGGAGGGTGCCCTGCCCCCAGGACTGCTGGCTCTGGCACATCTTGAGTTTCCCCACATCTGGCACGCTGTTAGCTCACCTGGGCACAGCCCCGCTCCTGCCCGGTGAGCCCAGAAAGTGCGGCCTGTGGGGACCCGTGTTTGGAGATTGACCACTGACTGTTCTTAGGTAACCAGGGCTGCTTACCTGAGGCTGACTTTTAAAATATATGCATTTTTACTGATTTCAGAGAGGAAATGGGGGGAGAGAGAGAGACACCAATGATGATCATCAATCCACTGCCTCCCCCACCCCCCACTGGGAATCAACCCTGACCTCCTGGGGAGGGGGTGGGGGCTGAAACTGATTTCTGAAGCATCGCCTTGTGATTGCTCACGTGCTCAGCCAGCCTCTGAAGACTAGGGGTGCTCCCCCCACAACTGGAACCTAAGTTGGCGGGAGCTGCCTTCATTGAGCCACTGCTATGGCGGTCATACCGCCTTCACAGGGGAACCGCGCAGGAAAAGAACTCAAGTCTGCTCACTGCTTCCTTTACCATCCTCATGTGACCGAAACGACATCCCCAGGGAGCTTGAAATGACCGTGTCCAAAAGTAAACAGCGAGCCGCCACGATGCCTGTTCCCACTGGTGTCCCTGCGGCCACCCCGGGTCCCTGCGGCCTCCCCGGGGGGGTCCCTGCGTCGACCTTCCCAGCCCGCTAGGCTGGGGGCTTGGGGATGATTCTCCCCGACCCGCAGGACCCACCCCGGACTGAGGTCACGCCCTGACCCGGCTGCGCCCGCCCCTTCCCGGCGCGTTCCCTGGTCTCCAGGCTGCAGCAGCCGGTGGACACCCGCGGGCACAGCGGCGCCCGGCCGCACTCCTCCTCCCGAGGGCGCCAGGCTCTGAGCGGGCGCCGGGGGCCGAGGAGCCCCGGCCCAGACGGAGGGGAGGAAGGGGACGTGGCTTCCAGCCCCGGTGAGAGCGCCCGACGGGAGGGGCGCAGACGCCGAGCCCCACGTGGGGGGGGGGGAGGACGGAGAGGGCGGGGGAGGACGGAGGCGGCCCCGCCCACCGACGGGGAGGGCGCCCGGCTCGCGCCCAGGACTAAGGGCCGCCGTGTCACCTCCGGGTGCGGATGCTCCGCAGGCTCCGGGGCTCCATGCCCTTCCCGCCGCCTCCCGCCCGGGCCCCGGGGGTCCCGGCCGCGCGTCCGTCGCCCCGCAGGCCCGGAGCCCCACGGAAGGCAGCTGCGCCCGCCCGCGCCCCGCCCGCACCCGCGCCGCCCGCCGCCCGGGAGAAGCTGCGGCCCGAGGCGCCGCCGTCCCGCTCCTGGCCCTCGGCCACGCTCCCGAGGCCCCCGGCCCCTGCGCGCGCTCCGGCCCCGCCTGACCCCGGCCGCAGCCCCGTGCGGACCGCGGGGACCGTGGGGCCCGCCGCTGCCGCGCGCTCCTCCCCGCGCCTGCCCCCCGAGGCCGCCCGCCCGGCCCAGCGGCGCCACCCGGAGAGGCAGCTGCTCGCGCGGCCCCGCCGGCCGCCCCTCTCGCCCGCGGCCGACGCCCGAGCCCAGGTGGCGGGTCCGCGCGGGGGAGGCGACCCCGGGGGCCTGGGCGCGCGCCGGCCGGTGGCCCCGCTGCTGCCCCGCGGCCCGCACACCCCCCGGCGGCCGGACCTGCGCCGCGCGCTCCCGGTGTCGCTGCTCAGCGCCCGGCACCGCGACCACGACCACGACGTGGAGGCCGCGGAGGAGGAGGCCGCGGCCCCGGACGAGGGGCTGGTCCGCAGGTGCACCGCGTGGCTGCGGGGCGTGGAGGCGGCGGCGGCCGCACGGGCCCTGGACGCGCTGCCGCACCTGAGCGCGCTGTGAGCCGCCGACCCCGTCCCGCCCCGCCCCGCCCCGCCCCGCCCCGCACCCGCTGCCCCGCACCCGTGCGCCAGGTGGGCCTCCCGGACGCTCTGCACGGGGCCCCGGAGCAGGGCTGGACGGTCGCCCGGTGCCCACAGCCGCACCTGCGCTTGAGCTCCACCTGGGCGACCTCGTGGGACACAGCCTCTCTGCGGTCCGCCACGCGTGTCCGGGGCTCCTGTGAGCCAGGTGGGCCCCCGAGGGACAGGACAGCCTCGCTGGACCCGCGTGGCCCACCCCCTGCCCAGGCGGCCCCCACCCCCCAGCCGGGCAGCCCCGGGCCTTTCCTGGCACCAAGGAGGGGCGGGACCGGGAGGGTGGCCTGTGTGGCGGGGCCGGGACCTGGGGCTGCAGGGGCGAGGGCGCTTCTCCTACACAGGAAACACGTGGGGTTGGGCCGCCCCAGGTGCCAGGTAACCCAAGTGTCCAACCCAGAGGGGCGGGCAGTGCCGGTGCAAGCCCTCCCCCCAACGCACACACACATGCACATACACACATGCTCACACACACACACACACATGCTCGCACACGTCTCCCCTGGGGGACTGTTCCCAGCGGCTGGGGTGAGGTGTGGGCAGGAGCCAGAGGCAGCCTCGCCAGCATGCATGGTTTCGTATGACGAGCTGTGCTGCTCACACGGTGTCTTTATGCCACAGGAAGGAAGCCACCACATGGAGAAAGCTTAGCCGGAGGTCGATTTGCGCGGAAGAGCAGCTGATGGATGGAGAAAGCCGGGAGTTGAGGGGTGGGGGGTGGGTGGGCGTGCGAAAGCCAGTGACAGGCCTCGTGTTAGGTTGCATGGAGTGATTTTTGGAAATATTCCTATTGATTATTCGGGTGAAGGGTAGACTCCTCCGCCTTTCAGGGCCGCGCCCCTCCCTGCTGACTCTGGCCGATTCCTGGGTGTTCTCTCCTTCATCCGAGTACATTTAACTCATTTAAGGTTGAGAAGGGAAGAACGGTTATAACCCGATTAGGCCGGTTGTGGGAAATAACATTACCGCAGTTTGGGACTGACTTTGTAATGTTTACTGGTTTAATGTTTATGTTGTTAGACTTCAATGTGTTGAATCTCTTTTAAAAATAGATTGTTTGTAAGGAAATATGTTTTCAGAGAGAGGGAGGGAGCGGGAGAGAGATGGAAACATCACTGATGGGCTGCCTCCTGCACGCCCCCACTGGGGATCCATGTGCCCTGGTCAGGAACTGAACCCTGACCTCCTGGTTCCTGGGACGCTGGTGGGGCTCACGTCTTAATTATATTTTACATTGAAGCTTTCCATGTTTTAAAACCAATTTTATATTTTTCACGTGGAGATCTTCGTGCTAATCGCTCTCCCCACACCCCTCAGCACAAATTCATTGGGAGCTGGCGCAGCCCCCAGAGGAGCCGTGAAAACAACACCCCTTCACACCGAATAGCTATCTTTCCTGACCCCTCCGAGAGCCAAGAGCCGAGAGCGAAGAGCCACACTGCTTCTAACGGAACTGGACATTTTAGCACCGGAGGCAGAGTGTGCGGTCCTGGGAGGCACCACCGAGGCCCCTGTCCCGCGAGAGCTCTGCGTCCGGGGAAGGGGCCGGACTCTGGCCGTCACTGGTCACCAGCAGGCGGAGAGAGAACTGAGCTCTCGGTGGGCAGCGACGTAACATGGTCTCATTTGCATGTGGTGCGAGGACTGATAGCCAAGGGACCCGGGTTTGTGCCCATCGTCACAGGAATACATTTCAGGGACTTCCCCAAAGTCATGGCTTTGGGAGGCCGCCCGTCTCTGCTTTTGTGTGTCTCCCGTCCTGTCGCTGTTCGGGCGCGTGGGCCTCGCCACCCGCGGGTCTGTCTCTGGGTCCCTGTGTTTCCTTCCTTCCCGCGCCCTCTCTCTCCGGGTTCCCTGCCCCCCCCCCCCCCCCCCCCCCCGCGAACTCCACGGGAGGCGGGGCCGGGCGCTCCTTGTTGCTCCGCAGGTGCCTGAGGCCTGTCCCCGTTGCTGCCGCCGTTCCAGGAGGCTCCCAGGTCCCCGTGTCAGTTCTCAGTGTTGAAATAAAAGACAAGTCCGTGCCCGCTGTTCCTGTTTGAGGAAGAGCGAGGTCGCTGAGGCAGACTTTGTCCCGGGTGGGTCTCCGCGGCGCGCCCACCCCAGCGTCTGATTGTCGTTACCAGGATGTCAAACACGATGATCGGCGATGACCAGATATGATGAGGAGGAGGCTGTTGGGTCCCAAAGCCCCATGGGAGCTGTTTCCAAATACACTCACAAAAGTGGGTGCCGCCCAGCCATGGTGCTGGCCGCTGTTCAGGAGGCTCGCCGACCCCAGGCAAGCACTTCTGTCCTCTCACCAGAACATCCTTCTTTCGCCAAAAGCAATTTCAAAGGGGCAGGCACAGCCATCAGAGCTGAGGTCAATGTGCATAATGAGCCGGGGGGTGGGGGGGTGGGGGCAGGGCAGGGCTGAGCTGGCACGTGGCCGCGGTGTTGGCTGGGGCAGCCTCACTGGCCGGCCTGGGGGCTGCAGTGGGCGCTGGCTGGTAGGGCCAGTCGCCCGAGCCCTGGAACGGTGCCCCCTCTGCACAGACGGGGCCTCAGACAAAGGCCCCTTCATCACTCGAGCCAGCGAGTGCCCCTTCCTGAGCCCTCGGCGGGTTTGCAGAGACGCACCCGGGGTGGCGGAGGGCCAAACCCCAAACCCCAGGGTGCATCACTGCGAACAGTTGCCCGTCTGTCCTAAAGCACAGCTGTCCCGGCCGCCGGCAGCCGCGGCGCCCACGGCCCTGGTGGCCTCATCGAGGGGAGGATGTCATCTGCACGATGAACGTCCCGGGACCTGTGGACACGGACAGTGGCTGTTTGCCTGGTGGTAGAAAGTGCGCCCACATGTTCTCAGTGCAGCGGCCCACGCACATGCAGAGGAGAAGGTGGTGCTAGTGACACCCAGAGCCACAGTTTCTGCCCCCACGGACCCCCAGGGCCGGGACCCCAGAGCCGGACGGGAAGGTCTGCACCTGAACCCAAAGCCTTGGCAGGCGGCAGGCGCGCTATCCAGGAGGCTGTGGTGCTGAAACGCTTGGTTCTCGCGAGGACAGGCGAGCCCCCTTCTGGCCACGGGTTCCCTCCCAGCTTCTGCGTGTTCATGAAGTCAGTGACTTTACCCCCTTAATTAAGATCTAGCCTGGCCCGGGTGGCCCAGTGGTTGAGCACTGACCTACGAACCAGGAGGTCAGGGCACACGCCCGGTTGTGTGCTACATCCCCAGTAGGGGGCGTGCAGGAGGCAGAGGATCCATGATTCTATCTCATCGTTGATGTTTCTATTCCTCTCCTTTCCTCTGAAATCAATTATTTATATATATAAAGATTTGGAGCTCATTTGGCCCTATTGCTCTCATAAACTCACACTATATTCGACTCAGCCCTGCGGGGACTTACGGAAGGGTGGCCTTGCCTCTGACGGGTAACCGCTGACTTCCCGGTGGAGTGAACAAATCCAGTGTAAAAGGAAGAGCTGCAGTGCTTCCCGACCCCGGGGACAGGGGCGCCCCGACATGAACCGGGACTCGGTTTCCCCTTATTCCCAGTCACACTTCTCGCCCTGGTGCCAGGACTGTGGCCCCTGAATCACCTCACAGGGTGGAGGTGCCGTGGACTGAACACTAAACAGGAGACGACTTCTGCGCCCACAGGTACTAGCCCGCGGAGGTGGCCTCGGGCTGAAGGCATGAGTCTAAGCGTCACACATTGAGCACGAAGCTTCTCCGGTGCCGCCAGACCCCGGGGGCTCCTGGGAGGAGGGAATCTGAAAGGCCAGGCTGCTCACAGTGAGTCCAGCTCGAACCAGGCAGCGGCCGGGCGGGATGGAAAGAGGATGGTGGGGATGCGGGCCACGGACACACAGCGCCGGTCACCAGGGTGTCAGGCTCCTGTGGTGACAGCCGGCCGGAGATGCGCAGTGAGGCTGGGTGGCGTGGGAGAGTCACGGCTGGGCTGGGGGTGAGGAAGGTGAAACTGAGGCAGCAGAGGGACAGGAGGGGACCCGCAGGACAAGGGGATGGGCGCCCCGATGCCCCAGAGCACCTGCCCGCTCAGCCGTCGGCCCAGCATGGCCCAGGAAGGACCCGGCCCGCTGTCTCCAGGGACCGGGGGAGATTACGACCTGGAAACGCGCAGGCGTGGCCGTCCCTGTGTTGGAAACACGGTGGGAACCAGCAGGGCGTTGCTTGGTGTTGTTTGGGGGATGAACCAGCAGCAGAGGGCGGATTGTTATGCCCTGATTCTCACGCAAAGAGCCCAGAAAAAGTGTGCATCGCGTTGGTGACTGTCTCGGCGACAATGTGGAGGTTTGGGGTCATGGGAACGGCTTTCCAGCGGTGGTGACACCCGTCGTCTTCGGTCCCAGCTGAGCTGCCCTGTCAGGAGGGAGTGAATTGGGTCGGCCCTGGATTGGTGGGCAGTCGCTGACACCCGGTCCCTCACCCCTCGTCACAGGGCACCTGCCTGTACCCTCGTGAGTCTGGAGGGACAAGCAGACGCCTTTTGGGGGGATGAGCATGTTCTGAAGTTGATGGTGGCGGCAGCTGCACGGCCTGCGGATGTCCTCGTCCAACGTCACCCCGGGGCGTGTGAATTCTCTCAGGTGAAAGGCACCCCCAGGGGCGTCTCAGGGCCGTGGGGGAGGCAGCAGAAGCAGGGACAGAATCTCAAGGAAGTGGCACCCCGCTCTCCGGCCCACTGGCTCCCTCGGCCTTTTCTAGCCGCCTGTTAGGAGGCACCCCACCCCAGGGCCTCTGTGCTGGCGCCTGACTCGACTCCAGGAAGGAGAGAAGGTCGGGCAGGAAGCACGTGCAGCGAGGCTGGGGGCTGGGGCTGGGGCGGAGGAGGTGGGGCTGGCAGGGTAGGGGGGGTGTAGGCTGTTCCCTCTCAGCCATCGACACTCCGCTCCTCCCCCTGCTCCCCTCTCACCTCCCTGTGAGCCCCTCATCGGCTCCTGGCAGGTCCTGGGGCCGGGACCCTGGGAGAGGGGGCCCCTGAGCTGCTGGCAGGGGGCGTGGGGGAGAGCAGGCACCGTGGGGAAGGGGAGCGGCCCCGGGCTCTGGGACACACCCCGTCCCCACCTGCTGCTCCTCCTGGGAGGTGAGTTTGCAGAGCCAGCTGCACCCACGGCCTCCCTCCCAGCCGATCGCAGGGACCGCGTTCTGCTAAATGTCAAACACGGCTTCGAGGGAAAACCATCCTGACCGTGAACTTGTGCTTCCGGAAGAAGCCCGTGGCTCGGGAGGTCCTGCACCTGGAAGGTCCCCTGAGAGGCTGATGGGACGCCGCACACGTTCCGGGCTGAGGGCCGGTCCGGGGGAGCAGGTGCGGGAACGGCCTGAGTGCACGTCACAGTGACCGTGTGGCCGTCAGTGGCCCTCTCTCCGGGTCCTCAGCTCATCTCCGACGGCGCGGCCGTGGTCAGGGGCAGAAGCCAGCCTGGGCCTCGGACCGCCTGCAGCCTGGCCCGGCCAGAGCGGAGGCCTGAGCTGCACCTTCTGACACAGCCCTGGGCTGAAGCCGCTTTTACACGCGTGCGTGAGCCCTCCACGCAGCCCCGCCCTCCCCGGCCCCAGAGCGCGTGGCGGGTCGCACCCGCCGGGGAAACGTGATGTCCTGTGTGTGACCTGCTTCCTCTGCCCACGCGGGGCCCCATGGGCGCTGCTGGGAGCTGCGCGGCCCGGCTCTGGGGCGCCCTCTGGAGGCGGGAGGGGAGCAGGTGCGCGCCCTGAGCCCTCAGCCTCCCCTCGGGCCCGCGAGCTCGCAGGACACCGGGCGTGCAGGCAGGTCCCGGGCGCGGGGCGTGGATTTCAGGTGACTCGGGGCCTCCTGTGTTCTTTGTGGGGGGCAGGGTCTGCAGCCGGGGGTGGGAGGGGGGTCACACCCCAGAACAGGAAGCAAACAGCCCGCCCGCCGGCTGGGACCCAGCCTGGGACCCACGGGAGCGCGGGGCGAGTCGGGCGGGTCGGCGGGAACGGGGTCAGCAAAGGGAATCCGTGTCTTCAACGTCCTCCGTCCGCTCTGCTCCCGGCCGGGCCGCCCACTCCCCCTGCGCGGAGGGTCGGAGGGTCGGGGTCTGTAAGAGGCGGGCGCCATGCCCAGGTCGGGGCTGCAGGCGTTAATGAGGTCACTGGTGCAGCCCTCGGAGCGGTGCGGGCAGGGCACAGCGGAGACAGCTGCGGGGGTGAGGGGTGCGGGGGTGAGGGGGTGCGGGGGTGAGGGGGTGCGGGGGTGAGGGGGGCCCCCTGCCAGGGGCCTGGGGCCAGCTGCGGCCCTGCGAGCAGGCCACACAGGGACTCAGGACTGGCCTCTCCCTCCGGCCTCGCCTGGGGCGGCTGGAATGAGGCCCGCGGAGCTGCTGACCCCCATCGCTTCTCCATCGCCATCAGCTGGACCCCAAGTGAGCAAGTGGGCGACGTCTCCCTCATTTAGGTCCGTGGTTACACCGCTAATGGAAGAGCCACAGGCTCCTTAAAAAGATGGAACCCCGAAACATCAGCGCTGGGAAATACAGGCCCTGCCACCAGCAGCACACCGCCCACCCCAACACACACACACACACACACGCGCACACACACACACACACAACCCAAACACACACACGCACACAGGCACACACAACTGTCTCACACACATGCACACGGGCGCACACACAACGCACGCTCACACGCAGGCACATATGCGTGACGGAGAACAAGACAGTGAAAACCAGGGGGCAGCCATGGACTCGGTGGCAGAGAACGGGGTCATTCTGAGGCTTCGGAGCGCACAGCATCACACAACACACTTCCTTTCTAACGCGGAGGAAAAGCAAGGGCCTGGTTGGTAGTCTCACAGGTTTGAGAGATGATCACCGAGCACAGGCGAGACCAGTAAGATCGCTTTCAGATGAAAACACTTTCATTTTAAAAAGCGATGGAAACACGGTAACAGCCGCCCTGCCCTTCCGCCTGCTGCCCGCTCGCAGCCGTCTCTGTCGGAGGGGTGCTCACCCGTGCAAGGAAACTCGCCCAGGCGCAGTGTGCTGTTTTGTGGGTTTTAAAAATAGATTTTTATTGCTTTTTCAGAGAGAGGAAGGGAGAGGGAGAGGACACCGATAGGAGAACCAGCATCGGTGGCGGCCTCCTTGCACGCCCCTACAGGGACGGAGCCTGCGACCTGCATGGGCATCAGAGCCCAGACATCACAGGCAGGAAGAGCGCGGCCAGCACGGAGGACAGAGGCTGCGTCTGTGTCCTGCGGGTGAGAAAGAGAACGTAGGTACCGACAGTCACGCTGGGACCCGAGGAAGGAGGCGGAGGGATTGACCAGAGCACATCCGTGCCTAACAGACACGGAGAACAGCGTGCCGATGGCCAGAGGGGGGCAGGCTGGGTCTGCGTGGAGGGGGCAAAGGGGAGAGATGGGGACATCTGTAATAATGTCCACAGTAAAATAAATAAATAACCTAAAAAGAGACAAGCAAAATAAGCCCAGAGCAAGCAGAAGGAAGGAACTAAGGACAAAAGCAAAATGAAATGAAATTGAAAACAGAAACAGTGGAGAGAATCTCAGAAACAGTCGGCTGATCGAAAAGATCAGCAGCCAAACTGACAAAGAGTCACTCCTGTCAGCCGTGAGGTGGGAACAGCACTGTGGAGGGTGCGGGCAGCAGAGAGGTACCCCACAGCCGGCCGGCTGGCTCAGCGGCTGAGCATCAGCCTGTGAACCAGGTCAGGGCTCCATTCCCGGGCAGGGCACAGGCCCAGGTTGCGGGCTCCATCCCCAGTGTGGGGCGTGCAGGGGGCAGCCGGTCAGTGATTCTCTCTCATCCTTGATGTTTCTAAGTCCCTCTCCCTCTCCCTTCTTCTGTGAAATCAATAAAAACATATTTTTTAAAAAAGATAACATTAGGAACAACTCTATACCATAAATTTAATAACTTCGATGTAATGGACCAATTCCTCCCTAAACTCCCACACACCATGCAGCCAATATAAAACAGCTCACTTGCATAGCCCTGAAGCTACTAAGGAAATTGATTGTGTCATTTTAAAACTCCCCAAAAGAAGTCCCTGGGTCTAATGACTTCACTGGAGAATTCTGTCAGTTATTTGAAGAATAATTAACATAAACTTCATACAGACTTTTCCAGAGAAAGGGGATGAACACCCAGTTAACTTCATTAAGTTGCTTTTAGCCTGACACCAAAACCAGAGACAGTAGAAAACAAACCAAAAAAAATCCCCCAAAACCAAAACGCCTGCATAGCAATACTCCTCCCGAATATAGACCCCAAATCCTTAACAAAAATACAAGCAAATGAAATGTGGCAACGCACAGAAAATAACACCCCCAAAGTAGGGCTTGTTCTGGGTGGGCAGGGCTAGCGTGGTGTTTGAAAACCAGTCGGTTTAATCACAGGGCTAATGATCACACAGTCACCACAGTCCACGCAGAAAGACTCCTGGCTCCGGTGTGCAGGCAGAGCCTGCAGCTCGCACTGCGCCTCAGGGAACGGCTCACCGCCCCCCGCCCCCCCATTGCCAGCAGGCAGTGGGTTGGGCCGAGGGAGATGTGGATGCTGGCACCTTGGATTTAACCGGGACAGGCAGGCTGGCCTGGAGCGGCTGGGAGGAGGGGGAGGCGGCCGCGGCCGGGGGTCTCTGGATCTGAGGGTCCAGGGAGAAGCAGCAGGTGCCAGGGCCCTGGGGACCGGGAGACTCCGTGGGTCTGGAGGGCAGAGGCCGAGCTGAGCGGGCGGGCGGGGGCAGGGCGGGGCGCTGTGCCCAGGCCTAGCTGGGCTTAGGCTGGGGGTCGGGTAAGGTGCCCCCGCAGGGCAGAGCAGCGAGGGCCTGAGCGGTGAGTTCCTGTCACAGCCCCCACACTCAGCACCCTGATGCCCCTGGGTGTGCATGTGGCGCTCCTGTCCCCCGGGGCACATTCCGGTGCTGGGACCTCTCCGAACTCCTGTCTCCTAATGCCATACGCAGGGCACCCTGAAACTGGGAGACACCCCGTTTAGGGAGGACCCCAGCATGTGGCCGCTCACGTTCATCAGCTGCCCAGGCAGGAGGCTGTTGGGGTCCAGACGCCGCGAGGGGCAGCCCAGCCGGCAGCCCTTGTGGGGGGCAGTGCCCGGGAGAGACATGCCCCCCCAGAGGGGAATCGCCCGGTGGGGGAGGGGAAGGAGCTTGGCTTAAACTGTGTCCCCTCGAGAGCGACGGTGACTTCTTAGGGAAATAACGTCGTTGAAGATGTGACAGGACTGGTGTCCTGGCCAAAAGGA